CTGTCAGTCGGCGGCCAGTAGGCTGTTCGGGGTCTAATAAGGCTGTGCTGCCTTTACAGCTGACTGAGTCCTTCTGCGCCTTGCAGGGCGGATTGCAGGCTGCCGTGAGGCACAGTGCTGCTTACATAAGGAAGGAATGGTTGGGAGTGCTCTAATTCTGTCCTCCTTCCACATTGAGTTGTCATCAGTGGCTTAAAGCAGGGAGCACCTGCTTGCTGACTCAGCTCCTGAGGTGAAGTGCATGAAGGCTGTATCGCAGAAATCTGTGGCTGAGTTGACCTGAAGGTTGATTGCTGCTGAGCAGGGAGGGACAATTAATTTGAAAAGACCATGAAGGTTGTAACATTGAGAGTATTTCAATAAGTCCATCTTTAAACTGAAAGTTTGTTGGTGTTGATAGGTGCATTGCAAATCTGATTCTGGTGGTTTTGGGCACTTTGAACAAACTGTAAGAATACCAACAAAATATGTTTGCAAGTGCATAATGATGCATAATGCTCCCTGTTTAATTGTATTGGTACTTGACTACGATGGAATAGGGTTGATTTATGTGGCAACTAAACAAACATGCAGATCGTAACAACAAATAAAAGTAGCTTTTGCATTGTTTCCATTGATTTAATATTAATAAATGGCAGTATTTTAAACTTTGCAGCTGTTCACTGAGTTTTTTAATTTGTTGTGTGTAGACCTCAAATCTTTCAGGGGATTTGTTAATCTGATATGAATTTTGTGTTTTCTTTTTACCTGTGTTTGTTTATGGATGTCAATCAATAGCTTCTCTCTACTAGGAGCATGCCAGTTTTTAATGTGATTTTGTTGACATTATATGCTTAGTCAGTTAATGTCTTCTCTAACTAAAAACTCAAACTTTTAATTCTGTGTTGACTTTAATGGCATTCTGTTAGTTCGTTAACAGACCACAGGCTTGTGTTTTCATCTGAACCAAGTATTTCTAACAATAAATAGATTGCTGACTCTGTGTACCTAATATTTTTTTTTTCTGGGAGCATAGGCACCATATTAGCTATTTATGATAGGTTGCTAATCTGAGAAATGATTAATTGTGACCATCAAATGCTGTCACTTATGCCAGTGTTTTTATTTTGTTTCCATTTGGTACACAGGGAAAGTTTAGAGTTAGTTGTTAGGGATTATTTTTTTTTGGTTGGTTTTTCAGTTAACAAATTTCTTAGCGTATTTAAAAGTACAGGTTTTTGAATCGGCATATGCATGGGTTTGGGTATTCAAAAATGCTGGCCTTTAAGATAGATTCAGTATTTTGAAGAGTTTGGCTCGTTTCATGATCCAAGCTGATGTGCCTAAAACGATTTTTTTCTCTTGATATAAGTAAGGAAAGATGATTTCACATTTGGGTTTTATTGCTGATTTCCTTGAAATGTGGTAATATAGGTTATAACTTTTATCTGCTATGGTATAGAGATATCAGTGCAAATAGTGTCTTTGTCTGGTTAAGTCTGCCGAACTTTCATTTGACAATAAAAATCATGCTTTACGAGTCTGTGACATCTGCCTGAAAAGTCACAATATGGCTCACTTGCTTGAGAACTTTTTAATTGACAGTGTTTTTTCCCCTTCTTCTGTCTTGGCGGTTCTTAACACAACAGTTTTGTCCTCGCTGTTAGCCAGTTGCTTGATTTCAGCAGGCATATAATTCTGAATACTCTCCTTGTTACTGGAATAATAAAATAAAAAGTAACTTCCTGCATCCTTAATAAAAGGGAGCTGTGTGACTTAGTATTTGGCTGGTAATAGAGGACCAGACTATTTTAGTGAGAATACAAGTGGAAAAAGGTTATTCTAGTATAATATTTTCCTTAAGCTACTTCAGACATAGTCTTAATTAAATTAATTTGTGTTTTAATCTGCTTCAGATCTCAGTCTTGCTCTTTAAGTGAAACAGTTGAATGTTCAGAGTTGTTTTAAATCCAAACTGGGTTGTTTTTTTTCCTATTCCTACTGGCTGTAACTACTTAGAACAGTCTTCAGTCTGATCTTGCAGTAGTTGAGCCTTTGAAGATCTGTAGAAGCTAACTTAAATTGATTTGTTGTGCCTTTTACTTCAGAATTTCTGCAGTAAGTGCCCTCTGCCAAGTTAGTCTGGACTATACAGTCCAGTTGCTGGTTCTGGGGTACAATCCTGGCTCCCTAGTCTGTCTTTTGTTCTTCACCAATATGAAGGATAAAACCAAAAAAGTGTAAGATTTGGCTTTGGAAGAGTTAAAATTTTATCCGAATGAGTAAAGTTTAAGATGTCAGAGTCATAGGCAATGAATTTTGTAAATGTGTGCCTTCTAATTGTTCTACCTTGTGGTCTGAGAGCCTTATGGAAGGTGAGAAGGCTTGCAGGGAGCCCAAGGTTTATGGTCACACATGAACCAGTCTTGAGAAACTCCCGACTCACGCACAGGGGGTGAGTGAGATGTGCTCAACTTCTCATTTCCCAACGTTTATGCTGTATTTCTGTTCTTCCAATGAAATATTTTAAGATTATGCTCTTGTTACCCTGTTATGTTTATTTTAGTGGTGACCATTTCCTGATTTTAAAGAAAAGCTGGAATACCTTCTTCCTGTATATTTTTGCATCAGGTGATATGGTTTCATACACTTACAGTAATAAATTCTTTTGAAACATCACAAGGATATTTAATTTTTCATCAACACATAGCTAATTTCAAGTCAATTTTTAATTCCAGAAGAATTAATTCCAGAATCCATAGCCTGTGGATTAATCAATATTGTGGTTGATACAGATACAATATGTTTTAATAAAAATTATATATGTATGTTATTGACTTAAAAAGTATGTTATTTGGTAATACTATTCAGACGCTAGTGAGTATGTTGCTTTTTCTGTGTTTTAAATTGTAGAGAAATTAGGACCTTTACTTATTTCAGTTACACTTCTGCTGTTTCGGTTTGTCAGGCACTGTTTTTGTATGTTGTCTCGTGTCTTTGATCTAGAGTGAATATTAAAAGATAATAATCTCTTTGGTTCATGGAGAAGGCTTAAAGCCTTTCCTAAAGTAATGGAGTGGATCATTTTTCAGTTGTCAATTTAAAGTGAGAGGTCAGGCCTTCATGGGATTGAAGAACTACTCCCTTTTCTACGGGAAAGGAAAGCTTCTAGCAGCACATTTTCATACACTCCAGGTATTGGAGTAGATTTTTCTTTCACCGTGTTTTTCTTATCATGCCAGTATTTACTGAAACTGACTTGTTCCCTTTGTTTTTCTTAGGCGTGTTTGTCACAAGGATGCTCTAAGGACAGTGTCTTGTAATTAAAGCTGTGCTTTTCAACTTGTGAAGAATTGTGGCCATTTCAGGGATGTTATTGATAGTGTCTGCATATACTATGAATTTACGTCTCAGAGTCCTTTAAAGGATGCAGAAAGTTTAAGTTTATACATATTAAAGGTTTGTGATACTTACGCAAAGTATTTATCTCTCAACAGAAAGATGTATAAGTAAACTTTGCAAAGCAAAAGTTAATTTAGTCCAGAAAAGTGAAGGGTGAGTCCCCAGGATGTTGTTTTTAGTTCTGATTTCTCCCCCAGAATATCTGGTGGTGAAGTGTTTCCTAGAGCTTCCTCCACTACAAGCTTTTTAAGTTTGTTGATGAGAATTTTAGCAGGGAAAAAAGGAGGTCTGGATGTAAGGTACCAATTTTTTTTTTACTATCTTTTTTCTTCTAAGTAGTGTGTTGAATGAAACGGGACTTTGATGTAGGTGCAGTACTGAGCTATTACTATATGGATTGTAATCTCAGTATCCTCTTAAGGAAATGTAAACAGGATGTAATAAACTTCTAGTTGTGTTACTTCCTATGTCTAATTCTTACATGGTGAGAAGCACTGACTTCTTTAAAGGGAGAAACATCAGGCCTTGTGTGTCTAGATAATAAAATCAGCATTCCCTTTTTTTTGCATTCTGTTGTTGATGTACTTTGAGTTGTGGAAGTGTTTGAAACGCAGTTCTTTGTTTTTTGGTTTTTTCTCTTTAGTGTCCTTATCTGCAGCATGAGTCAATCAGTTTTTATTTTCATTTGCTTAATATTGGTTTGAATGATCTTAGATATTTTAACCCTTCCTGCCAATTGCTTGTCTTAAATTTTTGTTTAAATAAAGGTAACTTCCTTAGTAAGGAAGATATCGAGTGTATTCCTTAAGTGTAAAATATTTTTAACTTACTTGGCTTAATATTTTCTTCACATCTTAAATATTTATAGGACTTATTTTAGCCATGTGAGTAGGGTACATAGTATCTTGCAACTTATGTATCAGAAGTTGTATGTCTGTGGGAGTTCAAAAGAAGAAAACTGTAGGGATTTAAACTGGGTTTATTTAAAGAAAAATCTTTTGCTCCATTGAATTAATGTGTACACAGTTTGACTTGCATTTTGTTGCATCTATCTCAGCTATTTAAAATGTTGATGTTGGCTTTACAACTGTGAAAGTAACTAATAAAGGTTTTACATTGCCAGAACTAGAATAAAAGATGCGTGTATTTTCCTTTAAAGAAAAAAAAGTGGAGGAGAGCAGAAAACCTTTGTAGTGAGAACTGCTGGCTATGCCATATTAAAAAGGGGGTTTTTTTAAACAGATGATCTAGTGTTTAAAAGTAACCCCTGTCAGCATCTTACTCCTACTAGTGTATTTGGCAGATTTTGTTGCAGACTTGATGGGTGTTTGTTAAGCACAGAAATAACTTCTTTCAAATTACTAGTAAAAGGTGATTATGTCTCTCCTTAGTGACTGGCAGTTTGAGGGATGGATGTGTTCTGTTGACCTGTGTAAATGGAAGCAGTAATGTTTATGTCCAAGATCTTCAAGATCCTGTGAAATGAGAATGTTGTGCAAGTCAAAATCTTAGAGGGGTTTGAATAGTTTCTACTTCAGAGTTCTTTTTTTACAATAAATAAGTAAATGAAATGTGAGTTCATATAAATGTTTCAATGCTTGCTTTATAGATGATGTTCTGATACTGAATACAGAAAACAGTAATTTTCCCCACCAAGTACCTGACTTCCATAAGTGTGAGATCTGTTTACTGTCTTTTCCAAAAGAGACTCAGTTCCAGCGCCACATGAGGGATCATGAGCAAAATGACAAGGTATGAATTTTAGTAGATACAATTTTAGAAGATACCAGTGTATTTTGATATTTTAATATACTATCAAGTAAAGCTAACACAAGACATCACTTTCCAGTTTGTTTTAATCACATCACTAATCACATCCCCCGCTGCTTGGGGACTTCAGAGTTTTATGAAGATTCTGTTTTGTACTTCCTCGTATTTCCTTTGAGACAGGAGCTTACTTTGATGCCATTTAGTTAGTGTTGTTTCTAGTTCCGTAATTTTTAATTTTATTTGATTTATAAAATATTCAGGTAGGTGAGAAGATATATGGGTATGTTTTAATTGAATTTGCAAACTGATTATACACATTAGCAATAAAAAGAAACTAATGCTTATAATGATTAACTGAACCCTGCTAGTCTCTAGTAGCTGTTCCCAGCAATGTCAGACAACCTAATCTAGTATGTATGTATTAGTCAGTAGGTTATTGTCATCGTTTACAAATCAAATTTTGGAAATAATGAGAAAAATACAGGCATGCCTTTTTAAATGGGGGTTTTTGCAGCAGGTTTGATCTGTAATTAAGCATTTAATTTCTCTTCCTTGCTTTCTATTTCACAAAGTTAAAACTACTTTATATGTGATAGATAAATAGTTTTATCACTGTTTGAGGTAGCTGTAGATACAGATTATTTTTTACAAAATGTAGGACTTTAGGATGATAATTCATATGTATACAAAGAACTACTTACAGAAGTTTCAATGTTGTAAAGTTAGTGCCTAAAAAATGGAAATTAATATTCTTAAAACCATGCTATTGCATACTTGTGTAAGTGCTCTTAAGGAATAAAAACTCATTGTGGAGATGCCAGCTGAAGAGCATTCAACCCTGATGTAAACTAAGCTCTTTGCTGTTTTCATTTTTAATTTTACTTAAGGAGAGTTCACAATCTCAGTTAAAGTAGGAAAATTTATTTTTGTCTCTTGTTCATTCTTATCTCCTGTTAACTTCACTGTCTTCATATAGCTTTCCTCCCCCATACACTTTTGAAATGCTGTATTTGCATTTCCAGTAGTGAGATAAAAAAAGAGAAAATAATAAAGACTGTTATTAATAAGGATCATTGTGATATATAGGTAACTTGAATTGCTCTTTTTTATTTTAAACATTTTGATTTTGATGGTTGTATGTGTCACCTAGGGTATATATAACCTCTGAGAATACTGAATTTTGTCTTAATTTTGTGGTTTAAACAAACAGCCTCACAGATGTGACCAGTGTCCGATGTCATTTAATGTTGAATTCAACTTGACACTTCATAAATGTACTCACAATGGTGAAGATCCTACGTGTCCTGTGTGCAACAAGAAATTCTCCAGAGTAGCCAGTCTGAAAGCTCATATAATGCTACATGAGAAAGAAGAGGTAATTTGTTAAATATCATAATTTAAACTTTAAAAAGACATGTAATAATGGTTGTACTTAATCCCTTATATATATGCTTTAGAGTGGAAGATTGAATAAATGGTCGCATTCAGAAGAAGTATAAAACCTGTAGTGTCAAATTTGTTTTAGTAATAGAAGCAGAAATTGATGTACTGGGTATAAGCAAGAGTTTCTTTCCTGTCTTTGCTAACAAAGAGACTTTGTGCATATTTGATAGATATCATATCAGTGAACTTTAACTGGTTAGTTATTTACAAATACTTCTATTTGTAAGGAATTTCTGTGACTTTAGGTACATTGAATGATAAGCCCACGTGTGATAGTGTGGGTGATCAATTTTGATGGCAGATGTCATGGTGCGACACTTGCCATCTATTTCTTGCATCATGAAACTGCTCCTTGTCTAGAAGTACCACTACTTTTTTGAGTGGTTGTTTCACTAGAGAAGAGTTCCTGTTCCTTTCCCCCTCATTATCCATTTTTATAATGCATTTGTTAAATTCTTAGCAAACATGCAGGAGTTTTTATAATGTGCAGTGTAAGAAGCTGAGTTACCAGTTGTGCACATTCTCCCTCCTGTTTGCTATTCTTACTTCTGCTGTTAGAAAGGTGTGTCTGTCTGTATTGAAACATCACAATTTTTCCTGATTGATTGCTCCTGTGAGAAGTTCCAAAAGGAATTTTCTGGGCTATTAAAATCAAGCTTGCAAGAGACAAACTTTTCTCCTCACTTTCTTTGCTGATTTGTGTGTGATAAAACAGTTTAATGAATAAAAACCACAACCCGCATTTGGAATTCTTACCTTTCCGGGTATTTTTCTTTTAAGAGGTCATAAAGAACATACCTTGTGTAAATATTACCAATCTTGTAGAGGATTCTTGGTTGTGTCCATTTCTACTGAGGAAATGTTCAGTGGTATCCACTGCTACTTTTTGACCTGGTGAGACAAGAATGCTAAATAAAAAACTGAAATATTTTAATTTATTGCATTAGACATTCCCCATGAGCATGAGGTTTTCTTGGGCCTTAGGAAAACCTCAATTTGTATAAAAAGTTAAAACTGGTATTAGGTGGATACAAAGTGAAATTTCCATTTTAAAATCCTGGTGTTTGTGGATGCTTTTTGTTTGTTTTGTTGTTGTTGTTTTTTTAAAGAATTTTCGCTGTATGTGGTATCTCCTGCCTTAGCGATGTTATTTGAAAAAAGTGCAAGTTGAAACATTTTACAGATAGTAGGAGTCATTGATACTAAACAGATGAAAATTATGAGTTCCAGAGTCTTCTTTGGATACCACATCTGATAAAATAAAGATAGTCAATGCAGGCAGAACTAGATGAGCAAAGCTTTGTAAAATTATTTTTGAGTTTGACAATTGTAAATGTTACCTAGCAATATACTATCAGCCCCTTTTGTTTAATGTTAAAAGGTGGTTAGTTAAGAAGATTAGTTAACCATAGTGAGGTTAACAATTGTGCAACTTGTTTTGTGGGTGGTGGTGGATGCTTTGTTTTCTTGAGGGACAAAAAAAAATATCTGCAACTGCCTATTCCAGAGAGAGGCTGTTGGGCTTGATGTATTGCTGGTTTTTTTGTACAGTTTTTCTGTTTTACCTTTACCTTGCTTTCTTTCAGCAAATTCCAGAGTAATGAATAAAAATACATAGCTTTTGTCATCTCAACTTCATAAATACAATAAAAATACATAGCTTTTGTCATCTTCAGACTTCTTAGGCTACTGTTTTGGCCACTTAATGTCATAAATGTGCTTCTGAAAAGTGCTGAGAAGCAATTGACAAACTCCTAGTTCTGGGGTCTGTGAGTCTGGTATAACATGCATTGTAAGCTTCAATTCAAGTCATTTTTCCCCACTTGTATGAAAGGATCATGATAAACCACGTTTGTTGTATAATAACAGTATATTTCAATGCGAAGTATTCACATTCGGACTTGAATGTAGATCCTTCTGGATCATTCAAGAAGGGAAAAAAAGGGAGGAGGATAAAAAACATTTCCATTTGCAGTGATAATGACAATTACAGAAAAATGAACCAAGAAAAAAACTGTCTGGAGTTATTCACCCCAGTAACGAACATATAATAAATGCATTGCCAGCGATGGTGAATATTTTTTGATGTTTAATCTTAAATGTGCTTAGATTTTGTAAAATAAAGATACACTGAGAAATGAAACTAATGGTTTTGAAAAGCGAAAAGGAAATCAAATAAATGAGTTTTTAGTTTTCATTGGAATAATACTTGTCTTTGAATCTGCTTCTGAATTCCAGAGAAATGGCAGTGCTTTTGCAGTACAAGTATCATTTCCATTTTAAATGATATGCAATACCAATATGTTTGGAAAGGGATATGTTTAACAGTGCTAAAATTAAGGCGTCAAAAGAATTATGTGTCCCTATTTATTTCTGTCGTCTTTTCTGTGAACTTAGCTGAGGTGGGATTACTGTTAAAAAAGTAGATGACAATCTGGATAACTTTAACCAGTAGAAGTGTAAAATTCCTGAACTTACTGTTAGGAGAGTTTTGATTAAAAAAACAATATTTTTTGCAAGTGTCTATGTAGACCATAGTGTAATGGTACTGAGGTAAATTTCTGTTGTGTGGATCAAGGAAGTAAGGAAAAGTGGTGAGGATGGTGCTGAACTGCTTGTTTCTGCTACTGTATGAACTTTTTCAGAATTCAGCTTCAGTGGAGTTTCTTAAAATACAAATATTACCATAAACTTGCAGTGATTATTGTTCATGATTCCATTATTATGGGGCTCATAAACCTTTCTTGCTTGTATTCTTTTCATTGCTGCTAACTTGCAGCTGCCAAGGTCCATAGAAGGATGCATTCAATTACTTGAGCAAAGCTTGTGCGTGTGTACTGCTGTTTGGAAATATTTAGAAAAATCAGTCTCTTATTATCTCTTTCAGAATCTTATCTGTTCAGAGTGTGGAGATGAATTTACTTTACAGAGTCAGCTGTCTATACACATGGAAGAACATCGTCAAGAATTGGCAGGCAGTAGGATCCACAGCTGCAAGTCTTGCAAAAAAGAATTTGAAACTTCCTCACAGCTAAAGGAGCATATGAAAACGCACTTTAAAATAAGGTGACAGTCACAGGATTGTAACAAAATGAGCAAATGTTCTTTCTCTGGTGGTAGCTGGGAAAAGGAGTAGTTTTTCCAGTCAAAAAAGTACCGTGATCTAGACAGATAATCTATTATCTTTGGTATGCTGTTATGAAAATCATAAAACATTTTAAAAATGTTTTAAAACATTTTAAAAACATTTCTGAAGTAGGTGATTATTTTTGGAGACCATTTTTTCCCCTCCTGTTTTTGTATTTAGGCACCCATACTAAGCATAGTTCTCTCTGCTCACTATTTGTAAAGACAGGTGAAGTGTGTTCATTTTTTAAAAAAGGCTAATAGCAGTACATTGAATTAATTTAATTAATTAATTAATTTTATTTAATTAAGTTTAATTAAATTAGTTAATTTAATTAAATTTATCAGTTCAGATGTAGAAACATGTTGCATTTGTATTCAGTGAACTACTGTCCATAATGGTGCTTTGCTGCTCTTTCACAAGAGTTACCAATGAAATAGATGTATGTGAGTCAGGTTAATGAATTGCATAAGTGTTCCTGCTCCACGTCATCACAAAGCTAAGTAGCTCAGACCTTCTGTTATGCAGTAAACATTGATTTGAAAGGAAAAAAGTGGAAAGTTGGATTATTTTTTTTTATTTGACACAATCTTTTTGTATTGTTGAGTATGAAGAGATGAATTGATGAATTATGAAAAGTTAATGTTTCATCTAACTCTTTAGACTGTGTAGAGTGTATTAAAGTTCAAAGACATAAATCAATTTGATTCCTGCTTTTCAGTGTAAAATAAGCTTCAGAAATCTTTTAGGATATAAAAAAGCTATGAAGAGCCTTGTTTCCTTAATTTTTTTTCAGAGTGGTTGCACTTTCCCTTCCCAAAAATGTGTTCTGTTTTGTCTCTAAACTATTTGAATGGAAAACTGTTATAAAGTTACAATTTAAATTTGGTATCTACCTTCTGCTAAAAAGAAAATTGTCATTACAACTCTAAATGATTAAATACTGGAAGATGATGTGATCTTTAAGGGTTTTCGATACAATTGCCCCCAAATTGGATGTTACTTCTTTTATTAAAATACTGCAGCTATAATTGAAGCAGATGACATTGCTCATCAAAGAGTGTATTCCAGCAGGCTGGTCTAGATCTGTCCTGAGATGAAAATAAGAGGTTGTAACATCTTTGCTGTTCTCTCTCCTCTTCTCCAATCTTCACTTGACTTTACTCTGGATACTTCAATAAATTGTAGTAGATAATTAATATGTAAAGTAAAATACATTAGCCACACTGTGCTTTCTCTGCAAGAATGTAAGAGTTTAAAAATGCGTGTACTATTTCTTTGAAGTAATTGGAATGGAAAATATACTTTCCTTTAAATATACACTTAATATCTCTGTTCTCTTGGGAGCAGGAATATGCAGCATTTGAGCAGAAGTGTAATGATTTCCTGTGTTATGCACAGACTGTTATTTCCCTGCTGTTTATTACATTGTTATACCAGCTTGTGTTTCAGCATGGTGATGTGTTTTGCATATCTGCTCCACATTAGCTAATTCCTTGAGTTATTAAAAAAAACACCAGGTATTTACATTTGTGGAATTTCAGTTAGCTTTAAGGAGTACTGACAAGGTGGATTATTGCACAGGTGTAGATAGGCACTATAGAAGATGTGGAATGCTCTAGGTACAGTAATGGTTTGCCCACTGCCTTCTGGTGTCTGCTTGTTTATCTGAGTTGTGATCCTTTTTTCCAGCATAAAATCAGTTGTTATTTTTCAACGTTGCTGTTGATGTTTTTTCAGCAGTCATTTAAACGAATCAGTTTGATTTACAGATAAATGACTGTTGGTACTATTTATCTATGGAGGTTGTGGTTTGTCTTTGAGGGGCAGTGGTGAGTATTTGGGTTGTTAAATTCCTAACCTGTTTGTGTTAACTTCAGCAATGGCATTTGTACTCTAGTTCATGAGATCTTCATGTTCTAGTTAAGGATGGCAGTCTTACCTATGTACAGGCAAAAGAAATGGACTTGAAAGTTCCCACCAAAATAGTAGTTGTGAAGTCATACTGTACTTCTGGCAGAATTTACAACGCAAATGTCTCTAGAGAGCCTCTAAGATGTATTGATTTTACTACAGAAATAACTAAAATTCTTGGTAAATGTAGGTGCTTAGAAAAGTGCTGTTTACATTGTTCTTTAAGTATCATTAAAGAGTTCGGGTTTTAATTGTTGCAGCTGATACTAGATATTGTCATCAAATTAAGACTGTATGGGGTAGAATAGGCGTCTTCAAAATCATGTTTGATATTAATATAACTTTATTTATTTTTAAATGACAGGGTATCAAATACCAGATCTTATAACAGAAACATTGACAGAAGTGGGTTTACCTATTCCTGTCCTCACTGTGGAAAGACGTTCCAGAAACCAAGTCAGTTAACACGACATGTTAGAATACACACAGGTGAGACTGTGAAAGTAATTATTTTAGTTTGTATTTATTTTGTAGAATTCAGTTAATCTATGAAATGCTAAATATTTTTCTTCCTGTTGGGACTTCAAGTGGTATAAATGCATTTGTCTCATTAGATGCTGTTACCTGTTGCTTTAAAACGTTTAAGTAATTCCTTTGCTTAGGAAATTTACATGCCTTTAAAATTTCCAGATGTATGTCATTAGAAACAATTTAAGAAAAATTTAACTACTTTATAGGTTTCATTTGTTATAGAGTGCCAGTTTTATTACTTTTGATTCAATGGAGGTGCTCCAGTGATGTGCTCTTTGTATGTGCTTTCCATCTTGTGAATAAGCTGCTGTTTGTCTAGTTTTTAGCTAATTCAGGCAGTTCATTATGTAAGTGTGCCTTGTTGTTTGTATTAGCAGTCTGTTCAGAGTGAGGTGATGAGTTGCCATTTACAAGAATGACTTTTGTTTACCAAGGGGAAAAAATAAAAATTCCATGGCGTGACTCTGTCTTAGGAATTTTTTTTAAGTTTTACAGATCTAGTCAGAGTCACAAGAGGTCACCCTTGTACCTGTTTTAAAGTTTCCTCAAAGTAATATAAAAAAAATATTGAAAATTACCTTATTTATTTTAGAGTCTTGTCTCTATTAGAGATATTATTTTAGCTTATTTTAGTAAAAATTAAAGAAACAAGGTTTTAGTTGGTCGAGGACACTTTTTTTAAAGCTTAAAAAAGTTTAAAAGGTTTAAAGGTTTTGAAGGATAAAAGTCCATTTGTCTATTGGGAAACCAGCGACAGAAAATGTAGTCCCTATCTCCACATGACAGTGGGTCATTTTATGTTCCAAGTAGGTAATGAATACTCATTTAATTTGTGAAATATGCTATAAGTCTAAACCTGCAGTTGCTCTGTCTGGTATCCAGTTGCTTGGGGTACTGTAAAAATATGTAGGAAGGAAGAACTCTTCTTTAAAGAACTTAGAATACTTTAGTCTTCACTTGTACATGCTGTTTTAACAACATTACATTTAGTGTCTTAATTCTAATGCTTTTTCTCTTTATAGCTATTAATTTCAAGCGCTTACACCCTTTGGGGAAAATAAAATTAAGTCTTAAAGATTGCAATTCCCATATTAATAATTAAGTAATGAACTCCCCGTCCCTCTTCCCAAATCTGTATTTTATTAAGTTATACGTGAGGAATACAGAAATTCCACATTTCCACACTAGAATTAAGATTCAGTTTTTATAATGAGATTTACAGGCAAACTTAACCTGAAGCAATACTTATTTATGTCCATCAGCAGCTACTAGTAAAAGCTAAGCCTTTTACTTATGAAAGCCCAATAGGAATTTTGTCACCATATTTCAAGGTTTGAATCAGTGTTCTGTATTTGAATATATTAAAAAATATGCAGTTAAAACCTACAGACCGTGAAGCATTTTCAAAACCCATAAGCAGCAGAACAGAAAATAAACACTCCTGCAGAGTTTATACTATGTGAGTTACTTGTAATCTGTTTCAGAAAATAGCTGCTTTTATTTCAAGCTATGTGAATTAAATTAAGAATTCATCATTTTAAACTAGCTGTAATTGAAGCTATACACTTATAAGTAATATGAAAATACTAATGTTTTAGTGTGTGCTCCTCCATGTGTGGAATATTTAGCACATGTTGGTACTTCCTGATGTAGCAGACAATAGCATGGTCATTGTGTTTTTGCTGTAGAAATATGCAAATGCAGTGTTAAATCTTCTCAAGGTCCTGCAGTTACCACAGCTAAACTGTTTACTAAAAGAAAAAAAAGAGTGATGCAGAGTTCACAATGGATATTTCTGATTAACAATTAAGATACATGGATGTAAGAAACTGAATTTTGTTTTTAGTATCTCTGTGTTTATAATATGTAGCTTCCTAATATGTTAATTCAGTTATGTTTTGTTTCTGGGGAATTTTTAATGCTGAATCTGTTAATGTACAAATAACTGTAAGTATGCACAGCACTGAGAACACTAAAATCAGAAGATAGTGACAGAGCATTCCTGGATCAATATTGCCTAGATTTTCTTTAATATTCAGTTGTAATATAAAGATTCAAGATTTTAAAATTATTTTTGAGCAGAGCTGTACAATATCTCATATAATTAAAAAATATTTTCAGTAAGTTGTTGTAAAGAATGAATGGCTTTTAATATTAGTATTAAGGAGCAGGACCTATAGGCCGACTTGGCAGTGTTACGAAAGCTTGCGGAAAAATAAGACTTTTTCATTTTACACTAAAGAAAAGGCTAAATTTTTGACTGTTGGTTATTTATTACTGTGCATTCTGTCCTCTGCTCCTCCCTTTGCAGGTATATGCATTTCATAGGATTTTGTGTAAATGAGCGGTATATGTGTTTTGGTTTTACTTTTCCTCTTTTCCTCCAGTGGTTTAGCGTAGCAGCTTCTGAGAATTTTGCAAACCACAAGATCAAGGAAGCTGTTCTAAATAATTATTTCATACAGGTTTCGTTTATTTTACCCATTTTAACTGATAATCATCAGCTAGGTCATATAATCTTTTCATTGGAGTAGATGCTGAGATTAATGGTCAAGGTAAACAATTTAATTGTCAAAACACCTAATAAAGTTTATTTCTATGTTTATGTTTGTATGTACGGATACATACATGCAATATTTTATTTTACTTGGTAAATTTTTCAGTTAGATACAGGAAACTACTCATGTTAATTTAAAGTTTAACATCTTTATTGCTGACTTGGATGAGGAGATAGAGTGTACCCTCAGTAGGTTTGCAGATGACACTAAATTGGGTGGGAGCGTCGATCTGCTTGAGGGTGGGGATGCTCTGCAGGGGGATCTGTATAGGCTTGATCGATGGGCCAAGGCCAGTTGTATGAGTTGCAGTAAGGCCCAATGTTAGGTCCTGCACTTCAGCCACAATAAATCCCAACAGCACTACAGGCTTGAGGAGGAGTGGCTGGGGAGCTGCCCAGCTGAGAGAGACCTGGGGGTGCTGACTGACAGGCAGCTGAACATGAACCAGCAGTGTGCTCAGGTTGCCAAGAAGGACAATGATGTCCTGGCTGCATCAGGAATAGTGTGGCCAGCAGGACCAGGGAGGTGATCCTGCCCCTGTGCTTCGCCTTGGTGAGGCTGCACTTCGAGCACTGTGTGCACTTTTGGGCACTGCAGGATAGGAAGGACATCGAGGTGCTGGAGAGGGTACAGAGAAGGGCAACTAGGCTGATTAGGTGTCTGGAGAACAGGTCTTACGAGGAGAGGCTGAGGGAGCTGGGGCTGTTCAGCCTGGAGAAGAGGAGGCTGAGGGAGTCCTCATTGCTCTCTACAACTACTTGAAAGGAGGTTGTGGTGAGGTGGGTGTTGGCCTCTTCTCCCTAGTGATAAGTGACAGGGCAAGAGGAAATGGGGTCAAGTTGCCACAGGGGAGGTGCATATTGGATATTAGGAAAAATTTCTTCACAGAAAGAGCAGTGATGCACTGGAACGGGCTGCCCAGGGAGGTAGTGGAGGCAGGGTCCATGGAGGTGTTAAAAAAAGGGGTAGACATGGCACTTCGGGAGATGGTTTAGTGACCACAGGGATGTTGAGCTGGTTGTTGGAATTGATAATTTTGAAGGTCTTCTAGAACCTTAATGATTCTGTGATGCTATGATTCTGTTGCTTTCAGGTGAAAGACCTTTTAAATGCAGTGAATGTGGAAAAGCCTTTAACCAGAAGGGGGCATTGCAGACCCATATGATCAAGCACACTGGTGAAAAACCCCATGCTTGTGCCTTTTGTCCTGCAGCCTTTTCTCAGAAAGGCAATCTTCAGTCACACATACAGAGAGTTCATTCAGAGGTAAATACAATTACTCATAAAGTAGTTGGTGCTAATATACTGCTTATTTAATTTTCAGTATGTAGCTTGTCCTCTTTGCTATTCCTATGCTCTCTAGTGCTTTCTGCAGTCAGTATAAATTTACCACTGTGGGATAGATGGTATTTTTTTGTTTTACCTGTAAATTCAGTTTTCCTAAAATCCCTTAATCTGAATAATCATATACTTAGGATAACCAGCAAAGCCTTTGTTTACCATTGCATTTTCAGCACGTTGATAGATTAGTTAATTACTAATGGGTTTAGGTGTATGAAAATGTGTGTATGCCAGTCTTGGGAGAGCTAGGGCTAGAATCAGATGAAAGTAAATCAAAAGCAGCAAAGCAGAAAATGGTGAAAAATTTCCAGACCAAATAGCAACCCACTAATACCATCACAGCATATTTGCAGTTTGTCTTTGAAGTATGTATCTTAACAGCCTTTTCAGAAGTTTTTCAGCTAAAGATTGAAGAAAATTACAAAATAGGATTTAAAACGTTGTTTTGAACCTTTTTATACTGTTGTTTTGTTGTATTTTATTTTTCCTTTGTAACAGACTATTTTTAAGAGTCAAAAGGTAATGCTGTGGTAGCGCAGTATAATCTTTTGAGCAGCCTTGGCTATGCAACTTTGTTCAGTAAATTTCTTGTTGACTTGAGTAATTTGTGTTTGGAAATACCTATAGAACAAGACCTAGTTTTGATTTCAAAAGTACAAAGTTAATAGAGGCAGGGTTTTTTTCTTACTATTTTTCCTGCATGCAGAATGTAGTCTCTGCTCTCGCTCTTTCCCCTAACTGTCTGAGATTTGCTTTCTTGTTTTCCACTTTATTCTTTGGATGTTTTTACTAAGGATCCTTTTAATGTCTTAGAGATTCTTACTTTTAGGATATAGTCCTTCATAGAATATGTCTTAGTGTTTTGTATTACAGTTAATTATATGAAATAATTTATTTACATTTCACATGATTTTGTATGACTAGTCTTCCTCATTGTTCACAGCTCCCTCTGTGATACCTTTTGTTACATAAAAAGAACACAGCATTAATTTCATCATTTACCTTGTTTTTTTTCAATATGACAAGATTGTTGGGTATCAAGCCAAAAATATTTTTCACTTTTTTCTCTGATACTCTGTTTTTCTGTAAGAAAAAAAGGTTTTGAGATAAGGGACTTTAAGTGATGCCTCTTGATCACATCTTTTGCTATGTTTAGTGATCTTGAGTATATGTTTTAGTTATTCCTTTCAAGAATTTCTTGATTATTTTTTTTCTTTCTTGCTATTGTTGTGTTTACTTCAAGGGTGCATACAGAGCCCTGTTCTTTATTTTATCCTGAGACAGTTACAAAATGTTACAGGCAGTAATAAAATAGGTTGGTTTTTACTTCATGTATCACTGTTTAGTTGTACGAGTATTTTATCTGTTGGTACTTCTTTCTGAAGGTCTTTTCACCAGTTTAAGCTAATACCAGAAAATACAAAATTCCATACTATATTAAAAGCATGTTTTGTTTTGGAGATTTTGTTGTTTCCTACATAATGAAAAGTACTGCACTGGTTCTTACTGTTTTGTGATAGACGAAGGAGAAGGGGGAAGTGAGGATGGTGGGAATCTGCAAATTTACCTGCTTTAATTACCTTAACCCCTTGGCCTGAAAGTTCCAAACAAGTTGCTGCTGATCACTTTCTCATCCTCTGTGTTTAAATTCAGTTCAAACTATATACTGAACTTCGTTGCCCTTGACACTGTTCTTTTTTTGGTGGGTTTCTTATTTGCTTCTTTTTCATGCAGTCTCTATGGCCTGATCCATCTTGCTTTCATTCTACTTTGACCTATAAAATGGATTTTTTTTTTTTTCTTGGAAATTTATAAAAGATATGTTTGCAAAAGTAAAGAGAAGATACCCAAAATCTGAAGATAAATTATCTGCATTTTTTCTCTTCATAGTATTTGTATTTTGTATCATGTTACATCTTCAGACACATCTCAGTTGATAAAGTTACAGTTTGTTTTTGTTTCTATGTGTATAATGGTAGGCAATTGTAAGGAGAGAAAAGTATGAGGCCTCATTTGCGAGATGATGTTTGTTTTACTCTCTGGTGCTTCCCAGCATGGAGAAGTGGTAATAGGAGATGACAGTCACACACGTAGATTCCAGTTGACCAGATATCTGAGAGATACCAGATTGATTCCACAACTGGATATCAGTAACTTGGAAAAAGAAACCATTTGAGCTCTCATAACCCCATAGTGTATTTGTTATCTGGGTAAATAATAAAAAATACAAAATTTGATAGATTTAGGGACAATGTACTCAATTTTTTTTTGTTTTGTTTTATTGAAGGTGAAGAATGGCCCTACATACAACTGTACAGAATGTAGCTGTGTCTTCAAAAGCCTGGGCAGTTTAAATACACATATCAGCAAGATGCACATGGGTGGTCCACAGAATTCTGCAAGCTCTTCAACAGATGTATCTCATGTCACAGCAGTAAGTTTTGCTTGGTATATTGTGAAAATGCCTTTAAAAGTTTAATTTAATCTCTATCTTAATTTCAGTACTTCTTCAAATAGGTTAGAACTAAAAGACTATAGCTTTTTTGGTCTTTTTAAAGTTTTGTGTCATTCCTGGAATTGATTTGCATTACTCAATATTGGCAGAATGTAAATAGGCCAAGTATATGCAAAAAAGGATTCACAATTTGAGGATTTAGATGAAAATAGAACATTTATCCATAAGTAAAATATAATTCTGGTGCTTACAGTTTATGTGTGGAGGAAAGGTTTCCTCATCAGAGAACATAAAATTAATTGTAAAGTTTTGTTGAAACAATGAAATCTAGAACTATTCAAATTATATATTAATTTTAACTTATTTTTAGAAACCGTTTGTATGATTCTAGTCCACATAATGACATAGTGGATTCTTCTCAGTATTTCTACTAACTTGCTTCAAATGTTAGATTTTTATTTGAAAGATTGTAAAAGAACAATCTTAGGTTTATTGGAAGCACTGAATGCTAGGGTTTTTTTGTTTTTTATTTACCAAGATACAAGAAATTAAATTTCAGAAAATGCTCGTGGCTTCATAAGATTTTTTTTTTGAGCCTGTGCATATTTAATGTATCGTAGGGTTTTTTTCCTTTGACCAAACTAAACTTTTCTACCTTTATTCCACTCTGTTTGCATTATTCCAAAATTTTTTGCTTTAAAAGTCCATGGATAAGAAGTAATATCAGACTTTGAAGGGGACAGTTAAAATTTAAAGTCTCCATTTCATTATCAGATCTGTCTTGTTGAAAACAAGTGTCTAGTAGTGTTGTTTGGACAACCATTTTTCATTTTTAGATTTCATAAATCATGGCAGATTCTATATGCCTCTTCAGGTTAATTAAAAGAAAAAAAAGACTGCGTCCTATTTGTTTGCAAGTATGTATAATCTCTGTGTCTTTTTGTACATCTCTAAGTTCACAAGCCTAATCTTAAAGCAGAGTACTGTCTTGTGTTTCCTTTCCCTGGCCAGCAGTGTTGTCCTTGTTTTGGTTTACTTGAGTATTTTGCATTTGCATTGGACACTGATATTAGAGAAGTGTGTTGTCATTATTTTTGCTGCATGCATACTTCTGTGCTTGCATGAAGGAGAGGAAAAACAAAGAATACCTCCACACAGTAGTATAAGCAAGTTGGGAGAAAAGCTTTTCTCTTTAAAAAAGATGCCAAAAAGTTTGAACAAGGAAGAACAAAGATAATAATTGACACATCAATCTCATATTAAGATTGTTATACTTTAAATGTGAAACTTCAGAGATAATGATTGATAGATTTTTGTTGTCAAAGCAAGACATTACATTCTGAGATTAGCACTAGCATTTTTATATTACAACTGAGTTCTTTATACTGCTCACAACCTCCAGATATTCTTTAACAAGAAATCTCCAGTATAATAGTTCCCCTGTTCTGAAGTATACAATCAGCCTCTGGTATCCCTGGGGATTAAAAATTGATTACATCCATAATGTATATGTTCCTAAAATTGAGGTCTTTGGAATTTCTGTGCTACCTGTGAATGCAATCTTTTGTGATACGCAGGGACATTTTGTAAAATATGCTTACTCTAAGGCTGTTTGTTTGTCTTTTGCTCCACCAGTGCTTACAGCTAAGGCATTGATTTCTGTAACTCATGTTTCTTTGATATATTTATAAATTCTGAAGCAACAGTAGTGATTCTATGTACTTTATCTGTTCCATAATCTCCTTTTTTCTGGCCCTAGTTTCCATACTGTGGGAGAATGAACTGTGCTACTTTTATGTGTGATATAAGCCATGTTTTTCTTCTTTTTGTATAAAGGCTTAAAATACTTTCTATTTATTTCTTTGTAGGATTCTGTCACTCAGCCTTTAACTACATCACCTGCTAATCTTTTGCAACCTGTTGATAATAAATGGAAAAATGTAAGTGTAGAGTTTCTGTCATATTCTTGTGTCAAGGCTAAAAGTGGGAGAAACTTTACAGAATTTTGTAAGCTTTTGTGAAACTGATGAAAAAGGATATCCAACAGCCCTTAGTGTTAAGATGATTAGCTAGTATGTGAAGGCAACTTGGTTGGTGGATACAGCTGGTTATTTAGGAGTGGAACAGGTCTTGAATGGCTTATGTTCCCTCACTCACAATGCAGTCATAATTTTGCTCATAATTCTGTTCATTAGGTCTTCAAAATTGAGGCAAATATCCTCCTAAGTAAAAATACTAGAGAAGAGTTAATGACTCATAAATACCGGGTTATCCAGGCCTTCTGAGTTTACTTCGCAGAGATACCATAGTTTGGGTGGGGAGGGAAGGAGCTGTGGTTCTGGTTGAGTTGATTAGAATTGAGGCAGCAGGGGAGCTGTGGAGCTCAAGAAGAGTCCATGGAGCAGTGGAGGGAAGGATGTTGCAGAACTGGCTTTCTTGAAGTACAGGGAAGGGAGATCTTGATGTGCCAGTCACAGTGCAGGCATTGGTGTGTTTTCTTATAGCTATGAAATGTGTTGTTTGTCAGCTATAGGTTGCAGCTTGGTGTCTTAGTGACAGCAGTTGTTTCAATAATGGTATACTTATGGACTCTGTTCAAAAGAAGTTTGAGTGAAGGAGAAAAGAAGGAATCTTTATTTCTGTTTTTAAAAAGAAACACCAAGGCTTTTTTATAATTTCCTTTTTATATTTGTTACTAAGATAGCCTAAGACACAATTATCAAATCAAAGATCAAGAAATTTGAATTTTAGACTAATTTTTGGTAGTATTTTTACACAGCTCTGTATATTTTAAATTTTTAGAGTATAAAGAGATTAAAGAGATCTAGAAGGTTGAAAGTTGAAGGGAAAAAACTTAGTTTGATGGCTCTTCAAAGATTGTGATGCAACAATATACATAATTTCATGCAAAAAACCCCTCAACTAATAGAAGTTTATTTTTCCAAAGGGCTTACCTTAGTTTAATGTGAACTTTCAAAAGACAGCCATGTTAGTGGCGTTTATTTGTTTTGGAATTAGTTTTCATGTGGCCTCTACATGTGGAATTCAGTAATTGATCCCCATGTTTTGTAAACTGGTTGAAGGTTCAGTAGTTGCAATAAAGTTAGTTCAGGCTGTAAGCTTACAGTTGTGCACCCTGGGCAGAACTGTGTGAGAGGGATGCACAGAATCAATTATTTAGTGGAGTGAGCAGACCTTTAATGAAAGCCCTGCATAATTCTTATATTTTGTGGTAGATAGACAAGCAGACATAATTGCAACAGACAGATAACAGACATGTCAGATAAGGGAGCTGAACAGATCAGTTCATACATACTTTTCATCTTCCTATACATACGTACTGCTGTCTATTTCAGGCCACACATTTTCGGTCTCCACTTCTTCAACAGACAGAAAACCAGGTGTCTTCAGGTACTGCTCATCAGGGTCAGCAGGCTGTAACTGATGTCATCCAGCAGCTCCTTGAATTATCAGAACCAGTTCCTGTAGAAAATAACCAGCCTCAACAACCAGGTCAGCAACTCAACATTGCAGTGGGAATCAACAGAGATATTTTGCAGGTAAGACCTGTGTGTGAGAACAGCTTTTTTTTCTGTGGTTTTACTTTCTTGTTTTTATTTTAGGGAAATTTGTTCTCACTAGTTTCAAAGATAGCATTCTTTCTGTTTCTAAATGATTTATCAATTAAGAAAGAATTGTGAAGATGTACTGGGTGAGTATGGAATGCACCAAGATACCTTTTGTTTAGTTTTACAAAAACAAGGTTATACATATTGGTTATATGACCTAGAAGAAAGCTTGACACGTACACACCTATACATAGACATTTTATTGATCCTCTTTTTTTTTTCCTGTTGCCTTGAAGCAGCTTGTGGCATGTCCGTAAGTTACGCCATGCTTAAAACATTATGACATTTAAGAGGGGGAAAATATTTTTATTTGGTTAAAAAACAAGAATGTATATAGGGTCTTTATTCTGTTCCAGTTTCAGGGCTATTTGAGTATTTCCTATTGGTGCAAAGAAAATTTTTTCTTGGGTGAGACCAATGTTTTTTCTAACCCATTAGACTGTCTTTCCTACCAGCAGTAGGAGAGGCTGCATAGCAGAAGACTTGCAGGCAGTAATTCAGCTGTCTGTGCTTGTCCTGCAGCCTCCACTGCATAGTGGAACAGGGCAGAGAATGTGTTTCTTCAGTATTGATGTCAGACTGCTAACTTTTAAGCTATTTTTTCATCTGTAGTCTTTTAAGTACCATTTGCCTTTCTTTTTGGAAGACCTGAATGTTACATGTAGGTTTGTGCTGGTTCACCATATTACCCGTTACGAATTTTCTAATGTCAGGAATGTGATGTGTAGTTGCACCAAATTACAACACAAAATATAGCTATTGTTGTGATAGCTATTAAAAAAAATAAATTTAAAGGGTCTTCAAGGTTGGTTCTTTAACTTACTGTGTAATGATCACTAGCCATATTGTTGTACAAAATAAAAATATACTGTAGTTGTCTTTCAAGTGATAAAATATCTGCACACTCCTATGCAAATGTATCTTTGAAGGCTTTGATCTAGACCCTCTTCAGACACAACAGTATCCATAAAGATGCCTACACTCCAGTCCCTTCTAGGTGTACATAAAAATGAGTGTGTTACTCTTGTCTTGGTTTGATGGTTATCAGTGGTTTAAGAGCAGCTTTTGACCTTTTCTCAGCCTTCCTGTGCTTTAGCATTTTTATTTTTAATTTGTCATCTGTGGCTTCTCTGCTAGCTGATGGGCTTCAAATTTGACCTTCTGTGAGGATCTGTTCTCTTGTGTAGTAGGCATAAGAGACAGCTACGTATTTCTGTCACATGCCTGGTTCTGTAGAAGCAATTAGCACTTTTCTGAAAGGCAGTTGCTGGCACTTGTATTAGTGCAGAAAATCCAACTTAAAATCTCACTATCAGAAGTCAGAATTGTGTAAGAATGTTTTCGCAAATTTGATATCTAGCCGAAATTCTGGGCGGATGAGATATTTAATTCCTTAATTATATTTTTATTATATCTTCTAAGAAAAGTTGATCCGACTGTGGAATGTTTCTTTCTTAATCTAGAAGGTTTTTTTGTTCTCTTTTAGCAAGCTTTAGAAAACAGTGGGTTGTCTTCGATTCCTGTTTCTGCACATTCTACTGACTGCAACCAGGCCAAGACTCCTGGGGCCCAGGATCAGAACCCAGATGTCCCGACTCTCTCAAATCATCAGGCTGACTCTAATAATGCAGAACAAGATAAGGAACAAGAGAGTACGGATAAACTGGATAAAAAAGAAAAAAAGGTTATTAAGAAAAAATCACCGTTTTTACCTGGTAATGTTGCCACTGCTTGATACTTTTTATGCTATAAGGAGTATAGTATTTGTGGGTTTGTTGGTGGCTTTATAAAGGGATGATCCCAAAACATATTGTGCATCAGTTACCAAGTTCATTTACTCTTATCTAAAACACAGCATGTATTTAATTATGGTCAGTAGCATTTTTAACTGTCATACTGATGCCAAAAAAAGTTGAAATGGCATTATATTAAATTATACTCTTTAAGTCTTCTGGATTAGATCAGTAGAGTTTTTGGAGGAGGACAAAAAAGAAAGAATATTAATCTTTTTCCCATTGACTTCCTCTGAGAAGGATTGGGTTTTCATGGTCTGCCCCAGAGCAGAGTTCTTGCAAGCACTACTCTTTTTCTTTGTAAGTGAGGCCTCATAGAGGCAGAAGAGCATTGCTGCTGCTCCATGCAGATCTTCACTGATCTAGGCTATGTAGGGTAGGATGAAGGTTGGCATTATGGACTTCATGTCATCTGTGTTTGAAATCACAAGTATAGCCATCATACTTCAGTGGCTCGTCTGGTGGAGACAACTCTATAATAAGCAGTTACTGAGCTCAGTCTGTAGTATTTTCATAGATACGTTGATGTTGCTTTTTTCTTTGCAAGAGATGCAGTAATTCCTAAGTGGAAAACTCATCTTGTCAAACTTAACAGCGCTAAAAATCAGTATTAGCTTTTTCCTCTGGCAATAATAGGGGTAAGGGTTATAAGCTGGAAGAGGATCGATTTAGGTCAGATATTAGGACAAAATTCTTTCCTGTGAGGGTGGTGAGACACTGGAACAGGTTATCCAGGGAAGCTGTCATTGCCCATCCCTGGAAGTGTTCAGTGACAGACTGGAGGGAACTTTGATCAATCTGATCCAGTGGGAGGTGTCCCTGCCCATGGCCAGGGGTATTGGAACTAGATGATCTTTAAGGTCCCTTCCAACCCAGATCACTCAATGAATGACTGTTTTGTTCTTCCTGTGTAACAGTAACAACCCTCTAATGCTGACTGCAAATAAAATTAAAAGGTTACTGCTGTACGGGCAAACACAGCTGCCTTTATACCTTGTTGAAATAACATATCATCAGTTGTATTGACAGAAGAAAGCACCATGTTAACTGATTTAAATGAGTGAATATCTGATACTAAGCAATATGTAAGAAAATAAGGCCTCTAAAAAAGATTATTTTGACATTTTTTTGTTGAGAAAAGGTATGCTGTTACTTTAGGACAGAGTTTAGGGTTCTTGCATCATAAAACAACTTTTGTGAAAAAGTAGCCTTAAATCGTTAATATTTCAGAAGGACTTTTTTTTCAGAAGGAATTTTTGCTTCTTAAAAAATTAATACATTATAATTTAAGTCTGAGTTTGGGTAAGAGATGCTTATACAAAGTACCTCATCCAGTGAGTTAACTAAGTGTTCAGAGCTTAAAATAATCTGGTGTGGTTATGGTTGAGGAATTACATTCACTGTTGAATAATTTTGTTAGGTGTGGTATTTACAGTTAACTAGTTTATTATATTGCATTGCACTTACATTCTGTATTTCTAAGTGGCATGTAAACTGCATTCTTTCTGTTTTGTGAAGCCTTAAGTTTTGTAGCTTTTTTCTTTAACCTTCCTCCCTTTCAGTAGCATAAAAATGTTTAAATTCCAATGAGATTCTCTTAGGTTTCATTTTTGTGATTCCATTCATCTATTTTTCTTAAGTAGAATTGATCTAACAGAGAAGTAAGTGATGTACAAAGTGTACTGTAATGGCATCTGTTTGGCAAGATGCTTCTTGTTTTTGACTACTTTGTATCATGATGTCAGTGTAGTGGAGTTTTTGAAGAACCGTTAAAATGTTTCAAGCATGTTCATTTTGATGTTGTTCCTTATTTTAGGCTCTATACGTGAAGAAAATGGAATAAGGTGGCATGTTTGTCCATACTGCTCTAAAGAATTTAAGAAGCCCAGTGATCTGGTGCGCCACATTCGCATTCATACCCATGAGAAGCCGTTCAAGTGTCCCCAGTGTTTTCGCGCCTTTGCTGTCAAGAGTACTCTCACAGCACACATAAAAACACATACAGGCATTAAAGCTTTCAAGTGCCAATTTTGTATGAAATGCTTTTCCACCTCAGGGAGTTTAAAAGTTCATATTCGTCTACATACAGGTAAGGCCTCGAAGTTGCTTTTGTATTTTCTGTGATGTGGGTGAGACCTTGAATGGAAAAGACAATGTGAAGTATTTTAATTATAAATTATGTCATTGATACCTATCAGAGAAGAAACTGGTTTCAGTGTCTTACATGATGAACTTAAAATTTCGTCATAACATTTTAGTTTTTAATGACTTTGCAACTTTGGACTCTTACAGAAGCTGTGGGCATTTAGTTTTCTAATGATGAATCAGTAGTTGCTCCCTTTTAATAGTGATATTCTCAGTGTACTTAATTGTGCTTTCTAAGAGTTGTACTCTGAATTTGAGTTCTGTTTTTACTTATCCCCATTTTTCATACTACTCTGCATCTTTTCTTCCTTCTGTTTGTCCACACTTTTTGATCATTTCACTGTATCACTCAGGACTGTTAGGTTACTTCCTATTGTATCTTCAACATTAAGGTGTTGCTTGGTGTTTTCACCAGCTTACCTGTTTTCAGAGTCATACACTGCATACACTGTTAAAACTTCTGTTCATATGGTCCTTGTTTACATCATATATGATGTCCTCAATACCTGTTTTTCTGTGCCTAAGCTTCTGTCCTCTGCATAGGGAAAAATAGATTTTCCAGACTTGGTGGACTAAGTTGTCTTCCACTTCTTTTTATGATTCCCAGTAAATAATCTTTCAGCAACATGATCTTGTCAATGTGCTGCTCTTTCCTTTCACTCCTGTTCACATATGTGTATGTGTGTGTGTGTATATATATGTATATATAAAAATAATTGGCTACATGCATTCTGTTTTCAATATCTTTTATAGTCAGATGCTTTTAATCCATGGAATATTGATGTTGAATTAATCTGCAGGGTTTTTAACTCTTCCTTTTTAAACTTGTAAACCAGTATTTTGTCTGTTACTTTATAGTCAACCTTACTTTATTTACAAAGGTCAGGCTCATTCAAAGCAGCAGAAACACTAGGTATCTTGGAAAATAGGTGGTCCAGTGTTCATGGAACTCCAGCATGTTGTTAGCCTTTATTCAGCCCACTTGGTTTTCCTGTCAGAGATGTTTACTTCTTCTGGCTAGCAGGTTAGGCTTGCTGGCTCATGTTAGAGGCTCACCCAGCCCCGTATGCTGTCTCTGGTAGCAATGTGTGGAAAAGGGAAAGCCTACAGTAATGCTTCTTAGCAGCATACGACCAACTTCCACTAATCTTTGGGTTAAGGGCTTTAGGAAGCAGGCTGTACCTCTGCACTAAGCAGCCCTTTGTTGATTTTTCTTCCAAGGAACTTAGCTAATTGATTTTGAACCCATGTGAACTTACTATTAGAACAGTCTAACATAATGAATTCCAATGAGTGCAAGTACTTTCAATTGCTTTAAATACTTTGTTCAGTAGTTTCATATGATGTTTCAGTTTACTGTATTGTGAAGAATGGCTCATTCTTATCTCTTGTGCATTTTTTCTACCTGTGATTTTATAGAGCTTTCTTGATAATACCCAGTCATTTTTACTAGCCTTCAAAGACCAAGATTTCCCCTTGAACAAAAGCTGAAAGTTTGGCAGCTTTGCCTGTCTGTGTAACTTACCAAGTTCTCCAATATCCTTTCCAAGGGAGATTTCTACCAAATTTTGCATTGCAGAAGTGTTTAATAAGTCATGTTGGTGTGCTTTTTTTTGACTGCCATCAAACAATATTGACATTTTTAGAGACCTGTAATTTCTTTAAACTTTGTCAAATAACTATTCCTCTGTCTTATTCTAATATATATAATTTATTTGTGTGTTTGCTGATTTTTTTTTTTTCTCACGGTTCTTTAACAGTTTGTGACATTTGACCTGCTATTTGCAATTCTTAGGATAGCTTCTGGAACCTTTTGAAAATTACTGTAGCTTCTGCATCATTGCATTTCCTGTTAACAAGCTTGCTTAAAGTGATGTGTTACAACAAGCTAGTAGTTCAGCAATTTCATATTTACATTTGATTGGATTTTAAGGTTCTGTTTTGAGAACCTGTTTGACAATAAACACCCTGATGGAAAACAAAAAAAGAAAATACAGAAAAGAGAAACTACATTCCAAAGATAAATTCCTGGGGCAGTGGAAGTAAAATCACAAACTAATGGGTTTTTTTTAATCTTTTGCAGGTGTTAGGCCTTTTGCTTGTCCTCACTGTGACAAAAAGTTTAGAACATCAGGCCACCGGAAAACTCATATTGCTTCACATTTTAAACACACTGAACTACGAAAGCTGAGACATCAACGTAAACCTGCAAAAGTTCGAGTAGGAAAGACGAGTGTTCCAGTACCAGACATTCCTTTGCAAGAGCCCATACTCATAACCGATTTAGGTAAAGAGGGAGTAAATCTGTGCTCTCTTCAAATGTGATTTTCACTGAAAGAACAGAGATCGCAGTTTAATCAAATACATTCAGTGCTTACTCAGAAAGATGCACGTTTGAAGTAGGTCATCAGACATAATCAGGCTTCAGGAAAGTGCCATATTTTATAGTTTGCTTCCAATAGAATTAATAAGTCTTTTTTTATTTACAGATCAATCCTTATCAGAAAAAAGTGCATGCATTTTTACATTACATTTTATCTGTGGTTAGACTATTGGTATAGGAAAGATAGCAGACAGTTCATGATTTAGATTCTTCTTGAGATGATCATGTTGATTAAAATTACAACTACTAGTGAGACGGTGTGTTATCTGATTTTGGTGTATTTGGTATAATTGTGACCTCAATTAGTGGTAATTGTTAGTGGTAATATTTTAAAAAAAGGCAGGATAATTCTTGGACATGCTATACAGAATTCATACAGTTATTCTGTTGTAAAATAATTGTTACAGCACTACGTAAAACCAGTTTTGGAAAAGGGATTTTGTTGTACAGCTCCTTCAAGACTGTATATTGTTAAGTAGAGGTCAATGTAGTAAGCAAGGCATTTAAACTTCAGTGTTGTTTGACTCAGCCTGCAAAGCTCGGCCTTGTCTGTTGTGTACTCAACTTTACATAGTAGAATATAATACTGATAACATATTTAGCCTAACATTTTGATTACTCTTTAAAAATCATTTTGCTTTCACTGCTTCCAAGAGTTACTGTGTGCAAGAGTAGTGGTTATTTTGGTATGAGGTATAAGAAACTTAAATTTTCAGAGTATCCACCAAACTTGGCTAACAGCTTCAGATATTCATATCACACAGTATTTCTTGAGTGAACCCTGGAAACGGGTTGCAGTCCTATCTCTTGTTTCCAAAGAAAAAAACACTTTTTTTCTTTAACAATTAAGATTGGTGCAGTAAAATTAAATATTAATGAAAAAGAAATAACAGAATACTTGTTTCTTATAGCTAGTGATAACGTGAACTATGCTGATATTACAATGTTCACTGTAAAAATAAGAAGTTCCACCATTAGTCTAGAGGGTGTCAAATATTTTCAACCCCACTGACAAAATTTCCACTGATCCCAGAAAAAAGAAAAAAGGCTTCTTAGTCTTCTTTTACAAGTGTCAAGAAACCACTACTGTTGGTCTGTGCTAGTGTTAATCTTTGAGTGGCACCTTTGGTAAAAGAAAAATATTTCTATATATTTTGCTTTTGAAAAGTTTAAATTGTTCTAGAAGTCTTATTAAATCATCTGCAAACTGTTCTCTGTTACAATGTTTGATTTTATTGCGTTAGTCGAAGCTATTTATTTACTAGGAAATACAAAAAATTATTGAAACACTATGGACTGTGGATTGGAACATGGAACTGATGGGAGGAAAAATACCTTTTTATACAGCGTTTCCAATCAGAAGTATTTTGCTGACTGGCTTTCTAGAGTGGAGGCGCACATTGCCGGCCCACATTGAGGTTCTCATCAACCAACACCCCCAAGTCCTTCTCCTCAGGGCTGTTCTAAATCCATTCTCCAACCAGTGATGATACTTGTTTACTTGAGAAGTCAGCTACTGTTCCCATTCTGTCAAGGTGTTTGTGATTTTGACCTTCCATTGTCTGCTTCTGAGACAGCAGTAGCAGCGGGACATTTTGTGATAGGAACTTTTAACTGATTTTCCAGTACAACACTTGACTGACTTCCGGGACCACTGTATAAAGAGCATTTGTTCAAATAAGGGTTTTTGAGGTTTTGGGGTTGTTGTGGTTTTTTTCCCCCAATACATTTTTGGAGGTACCCAGAGAACCAGTAAGAATGACTAGCCAAAGTAGATGACGACAAATAGAACAATTTTTGGTGGATTTTTTAAAATCACTTAAGTAAAGGCATACATATGTATGAAGGTGCTTTGTACTTTTCACGAAATGTGTGTTAAATATTTGTCAAGTTCTAATATATATCTGGAGTACACTGATTAAATGTCATTTAGTTAAGGTGGAGGCTGAAAGAGCGAAGTATATTTTGATTAGCATTGAATTCTTAAGTGTCAACTTTTTTTAAAGTTAATGTTCATTTTGGAACAGATGTGAGGCTTAATGCAATGAGGTAGACCTATGGATAAAAGAAGAGCTATATAAATATTATGTGCAATAGAACAGGAATAATGCTAAGTAGATGCATGCATAAATTCAAACATTCTCATTTTCTTTATATTCTTGCATGCTAGAAATTTAGTCACTTCTTTTGAAATACTAGCTCTTCAGATCACTGCAACTTTGGAATAACTACCAATTGATTTTTCCTTTTTTTTGTGTGTGTTCATGTGCAGGTCTTATCCAGCCAATCCCAAGGAACAGCCAGTTCTTCCAAAATTATTTTAACAATAATTTTGTGAATGATGGAGACAGACCATACAAATGTTTTTATTGCCATCGAGCCTATAAAAAATCTTGTCATCTTAAGCAGCACATCAGGTAAAACAAATTCTAAGAAGAAAGGAAATGTATGTACTTTTTGGAAAAGCATTAAATGTATGTAGTGTTCACTGAAAAGACTTCTTGCGTTACTGTCTCTCAGGTAGTGAATCAGTGATAATTGATTTTTCTGGTAAAGTTGGAAGAGGCTTTGGACTAATTTATACCTATTTGCAGTGCTAGCAGTACAAGTAGTTGTGTTTAGTGTGCATTTTAGCTTATTAGCACTCAAACTGCTTTTTTCCTAAGCTATGTGTGGAAAAAGAAAAATTTAGGTTGCTGGGAAGCCAGTGGAGGTAACTAAACCAAAATTGTTTTCAAAAGAAAGGGTAACTTCAAAGTGAGATCGAGTTGCAATTGTACAGGCAGTGAGCTGTGACGTTTAGTTGAGTTATCAGACATTATTCCCTGATTTATAAACTATGAATAGCTGGAGGAGAAAATATGAAAAAACCCTACCAAAGATGATTACTAGGATATAAGGAAAGATTCCATAAAAACAGGTGGTAATCTGCTTGTTTCTGCTTTATAAGCTCTTTACCACTTTAAGTTGTGGTGAGTTCTTCACATTCTCCTTGCAGATCAAGTTCTGTATATGTAGGTTATCAAAACTGGTTTGAAACATTCCTTGGTTTCTATATGCTGTCTTAACAGGAGGTGAGGAAGCCTTGCAGTATCACATCTTTTACTTTTGTAATACTCAACCAAGATTTCTCACTGTCTTTTGTAGACACAATCAAGCTGGATTGATTTAAATCAAAATAATTTAAAGTAGCAAGTGTTGCTGGTTTGCATCATTACCACCTTCATTGCCCTTCATTGAAACAGTTGATTTTAATTGGCTCACACTTGTCTTTCTGTTTTCTTAAGGAAGAGTGTAACCATCAATGGTTATTTACCCGTAAAAATGTTAGCTGCCACTAAAGAGGGCCTTATCTGCCTACAGATGGCCTATGTAGCTAAAATAGGAGCTAAATTTATGCATATTTTACTGAAGCATATGTGTAGTTTACAGTTTTGTTTCAATTAATAATTTTTCATCTTTCATTTGTATTAGAGAAATGTGGTTGATTTATTAGTTCATTTTACTTTGACACAGTTTTGTCAGGATTCTTTCAATGAAAGCTGGAAGTGTTTTGATGACACAGAACATGAACAGCTTATTACTTAAACATTGGTTTACATGCACTGAGTACTCACAATTATATTTTTCTTGTCCAATACATTTTATGTTGGAAAATTCTGTTCTTGAGATGCCTGTGCTTGAATTGATTCTGTTGTTTGGAATACACATACTCTATCTCAGGATAAAATATGTTTAAAAGCGTTTTTACCTACTATATGTATCTTTGCTTTTTGGCTCCCAGACTGAAAATAAAAAGGTGTGATGGGGGTACCAATCACTTGTCACTGTGCTGCTTTTTGATTGATCTTTGTGACAAAGTACTGAGTGAAGTTTAGCTTAGCTTGGCTTTGTTATGGGTTTTGTAGAGACATTAGAAGCTTTTCTCTTTTTCTATGTTTGTTCTTTGCAAATTGGCTATACCTAAGCTACTAGATTTGACACTTGTGTGGTCAGTCTGTCTTCACTGAATGGTGCTGATCATTGCCTAGGAAGCTTGTTTCCTTCTCTGAAACCGAGGGAAATTTGTAGTATGGATATTTTCAATGCAGCAGTGACTGAATAGTGTGCCAGATTCACCCAAAGGTACACCATGGAAGGATTGGGATACCCTGCTGCTTATTTCTGTATTCGTAGCAAAACAGCAAACTTGAAATCTGTCTCACATTTTCCCAATTCTGGCATTCTACATCTGGCATATGATGGGGTGGTCATAGACTTCTAAGGCTCACGAAATCATAAGCCATCCCTAACTTTTCCCAATTTTATTAAATTCTGCTTTCTTTTTTCTCTGTCATTTCCTAGTGTTCACAATGGCCTTCCTCATAGTTCTTGCTCCTGGGATTCAGTCATAACCCTTAAAATTCTTCTTGCACTCTGCTCCATTTCCTAACCTGTCCTTCAGTCTGTTTTATGTCCTGATACAGTCAAAAGAAAACTCTAGCACTCTGGAAGGAAGGATATAGTGAGTGGCATATGCTGATGGCATAGGTGAGAGAGTTTGCCCACTTCAGTGTTGTTTTCACATAGCAGTCTGAAAGACTTGTATATTACCTGGCATGGAAAAATTCAACCCCACTGTTCTACGTGAGGCAAAGTATGATCAGAAAAGGAGATTGGGCTGGAGATTGTAATTAAAACTGTTAGTATTGTTTCTAGCCCTACCAGTGATGACATGCAGGTTGTTTATGATTTGCTAAAGCTTCAATTTATGGATTTTCTTAACTGAAGCCTCTACCATCCATACAGCAGTTGTCTTAGTTTTGTTTACTCATTTTAAAATTTAGACTTTTAATAGCTTTGTAAATCAAACTGTTTAATCTACTTTAACTTTTTCTTTCTCATAAAAAGGTCACATACTGGTGAAAAGCCATTTAAGTGCTCTCAATGTGGAAGAGGTTTTGTGTCAGCTGGAGTTCTGAAAGCACATATTAGAACACACACTGGATTGAAAGCTTTTAAGTGTCTTATATGCAACGGGGCCTTCACTACTGGTGGTAGCCTCAGGCGACATATGGGGATCCATAATGACCTGCGGCCGTATATGTGTCCATATTGCCAAAAAACATTCAAAACATCACTAAACTGTAAGAAACACATGAAGACTCATAGGTATGTTTACCATTTTTAAATGAATCCTTCAATGTATTTCAGTAGCCCTTCCTTAAAGATAGTTGGAAAGGCAGCTCTGCTCGGTGACCAATGCTAATAATGGAATAAGGATGTTTACTTCTGGGTAGCAAACAGATAGCTCTGAAGGAATAGTAAATGATGGTATATAATAAAAAATAAAAATTGTTCATGTAAGTAGTTAGGATGACTATCTAGATGAAATCCTAAAAAGACCTTCTTACCTTTCTTTGCAGATATGAACTTGCACAGCAACTTCAGCAGCATCAGCAGTCTGCTTCAATAGGTGATTCTACAGTAGATCAGCAGAGCATTCATGTTTCTACACAGATGCAAGTGGAGATTGAAAGTGATGAGCTGCAGCAGTCAGAAGCTGTTGCAACAGATCAGCAGGCTATTTTAGAGTTGGACCAGCAGCCAGTAGTAGGCACAGAAGAAACAGCACTTGAACAACAATTGGCTGATCAGCCTTTAGAGCAAGATGAGGGTGAGTATTTGAAATATGGTAAGGTTTATATTGAGGTACGTTTGCAAGGTCTCCTTCACAAATTTTGGGTTTCAAGACCATGCAAGTAAACAAATAGAAAAATACATGGAGTAAATGCTAACCACTTAAAGTATATTGTATGTTTTTTCATTCATCGGTGTTTAGGTTTACTGTTAAACATCAAAAAAAGATTAAGATTTGCACCATTTAGTTGTATCAAACAAAACTGCTAAACAAATATACAGAAAAAGAATACTGCGTGTACAAAACTTTACAACATCACATTTATTATTCATAGAAAGCATCATTATATAGTTTGCTTTGGAAGTAATACCTGTGTTTTGTGGTGGAAAAATGCAAAATTATTTCATGTGCTTATTCTGTTCCTAATAGTGGAAGAAAGTATTTTGGTTTTGCTTATTTGCTCTTTTTCATGGTGTAATGAGTTAGAAAGTTCTATAGAGGAAAATGAATAAAGCCTACAGTAAGCAAAGATATAAATGCCTATTCAGCTAATATATTTTATTTATTTTTAATACAGTAAAAATTCAGATTACTATAAAATGCAGATTTTGGCAACAGCTGAATTACCCAATTACATCTTTTTTCCTTGATATTTATTTCTTCTTTTTTTCCTTCCTTTCCCCATTTCAGATAGATTTGTGACATCCCAGCATGCTTTACAGGAAAACATCACCCAATTTGAACAACAAGCTGTAACACAGCAGCCATTTGATCAACAGGGCTTACCACAAGGTTAGTAATAAATAGAACTTTAAGTGGTTTTTGTAAGTCTGGCTTTACAACATGGCTATCATAAAGCATTCTAAAAGTGGGCATCCACAGTCCAAGGAACTGCAATGCAGAGACCTTGCAAAAACTTTTTTAAAAATTATTATTTTGAAACTATTTGGTAGAATATTTTGGATACTTAAATATTTTTTGCTTTTCTGAGCTAATGTTTAGTCATTACAGAATGTTGTTTATATTCGGGCAGTGTCATATTCTTCCCTTGATTGTGTTTGAAATTGCTGTGGCAGTAGGCAGTGTACACAGCTTGCCTTCTAAATTCATGTGCTTATAATCTGAGATGGTCAGAAGCATGGTCTTAGATTTGACTGAATAGTTGTAGGGATTCAGTATGGAAAAAGACAGGTGAAAATAAAATTACATCGAAGTCATGCTTTAATCTAACTACAGCAGTTTCATTTTGTATTTTGTAAGAGGTTGTAAACACGTGGAAACTTTTTTTAAACATACAAAATACTGAGGAATGTGTCTAAAGCTTATGTAGCCTGCGGAGAATGAAGTGATGACACTCTTCCCGTGCTTTTTGCTGCTGGATTTCTTGAGTTGTTGCTTCAAATAAAGCTTTTAGTTTTGCTTTGGGTTTTTTTTGTGGGAGGGAGGCAGGAAAGGGGGTTTAATTTGTTTTGGTTGGGAAGCATACCTCATTGACTGACCAGCTGATCTCTTCCTGCTTGCTTCTGACTCCAGCAAATTACTTCATGTTTATATAACTGGTAACCAGTAATTGGTGTTCCATCTACTTAAGTTTTTCTGTTCTTAATTGCATTCCCTGTTTAATTGTATAGTGCCTTTTTAAAAAATGTAATTGACTATGCTAACTTGCATGACACTCTGAAGACGTAGTGTAATTTGTTGCCAATTTTAATTCTCTAGGTTCTGTTGCATTGTATGTAAACAAGAAAAACAATTTAAAGTCTCTGCCTTTATTAAACATGACTGAACAAGGTCATGTTAAAACCATATGGATTAATTTCTTCAGTTATCTCTAACAGTTTTTCAAAATGAATGAAAAGAAACTGCAGAAAAATAATGCAGTTTTTCACTCTGAAGAGTGGTGGTGGGTTTTGTTTGGATTTTTCCAGCCCCTTTGAATTTGAAAATCTAATACATAAACTTTGTCTTGTTATCTTATTTAGATTTCAGTTCCTGTGTATGTTTATCGTGTTTAAATAAATACTGAATACTGAGTGATTTCTTGGGGAGCAGGGAGACAATTCTAGATCTCACACATTTTTTTTCATCAGAAATCTAAGCTGATCACCAGTGCATTACAAAAGTGGTGCAGAGAATCAAGACATTGGTGGTGTGGTTTTGTTTAAGTCTCATTTGTATAAGATGTCTCCTATTCTACTTGGAATCTCATCCACAGATTCCCAACTCTTTGAAGTTTCCTTGAAGATCCTGGAGCCCTTCAAAATTTTTGAATTTCAGGTAGGTAAGCATTTGCGCGGATGCATGCGTTAAATTGGTCGACCCTCTCCCTATGTCTGCATCTGTGCTTCATGCTCCTGATTTCTTTTTCCTATCTGCTAGGCAGAATGTTGAAGCTGAAAACACTCTGTCTTTTTTTAGCCTTGACATTTTTAGGCTATGTTGTTGTTAAAATATTTTGATTCAGTATTTATTAATAAAACAACATAAGGAGTTTTAAAAAATATTCAGTAGGTTTTTTGATTCTTCTTTTTCCTTTTTATTTTTAAGGAAAAAAAATAATCTTTGTATTTCAGACAGATGAGGCTGATCTCTGTCTGCATAGACCTGGCAGAAATGTGTTTATTATTGAAGAGTTTTTTTGGAATAGTTTTACAGACTTCTTGGTTTGTTCAGATAGAATTTATTTATTTATTTATTTATTTTTCTTTATTTGTTCAGAGTTGTAAATAAATGCAGATCATATGAGGGTGCTGCTGAATCATAATCTATTATTCATTTGAGCTAGATTCAAAGAGTAGGAAAAAAGACTTCAGTGTTCCTTGTAGACTTACTTTAGTGAGGTCACAACAACTAAATGGATTTTATCAGAAGGTGTCTTTAGGTTATTGAATATCGTCTATCACTAAATGTGTTTTCATATAGATTATCGCCTTTTCTTCCTTTAAAAGTCTCCCTGTAAGCATGGTTGAATGTTAATAATTCAGTTAGTGGTGATAGGAAAGGGATCTTTAAAACCTACAAGAAGTCCAAAAAATGTTATTCTGTAGCCTGTACAAATATATCCTTGCCAGCAGACTGATGTTTTGCTTTCCTAGGAAGCTGATCTTCAATCTCAGGAGTTGGAATTTTGATTCTTTCAGTAACTGTTTAAACATTTATTCCACTCAATACTGTTCAACTGGTTCCAAAAGTTGCCTAGGAAACAAACCTGCAGAACATGTAATTACTAGTCATTGACCCCCACTGAGATGCACACGTGCATGTAGATAAGCTTGTAACATTAGTGATCTGTTGGTAAACACTTCAAGTTTTGTTTAAGTTGAAATACTGTATTTGCTGGGAACTATCATACTGTTGTTTTATCATTCTAATGTGCAAGACATATTTTTACACCAGTAAAATTATTTCCAGAGTGTTCTAAAAGAGAGCAGGTTGGATGATGCTCTAAGGCCAAGGAAGAACAAGCAATACAAATTATTAGATGTACTGAAATAAGACAAAATCCAATTCCAAGTTTAGAGAACTTTGGAGTGAGAGACTCCCCTTATTATAAAGAGCTTAGATGCTCTCTGTTCTTTAAAGATTACGGAAAAACTTCTGGAAAATAGTATATAATGATGAAAACAAGCAGAAAAGAAAGGATCTGAAATTTGTCTTGTTCTCAGTTTGAACGTGTGTTTTCTGGTGTTTTTTTGATTGTGTTGGGGTTTTCTTCAATGCTGTTCTGTAGAAATGGTATGGTGGTAGCGAATGCCTTTAGCATGCTCAAAGTTGTCAGATCTTTTTAAAATTTGGAGGGGAAATTGACCTTCATACTAGATATTGAGCAAAGTGAGGACACATCATATAAATTCTTGTTACAGAATTGGTTTATATTTATTCCAGAATTATTTTCAGATGTAGTATTTCTTTCTCCAAAAGACCTCTAAATTCAGAACTTTTCTTCCTGAGCATTTTGTTGCACGATCTTAGGAAATTTTTCAGGATGTCAATAATTGCCTTAATTAAAACACTGAAGTGAAACAGGTCGTGGTGTAGTAATGTCTTTTTTACTTCTAAGCTAGTAAAATTACTTGCTGACTTAAAAAGTAGTTGTCATTTTTATAGATAGTAATTTCTGTGTACATTTTAATAGTTATGTCCTTTTTTTAATGTAGGGCATGGAAGTAGTATTGCTTCAGTTTTTTAAGGCTTGCTTTTTTTGTGTTCTCATCAAGTGTAGTGGGAATACCATTTTTCCATAAAGGTCCTTTAAAAATGTATTTGAAAATAGAAATTATCAGCCCTCTTATCACAGTAAAGCTTTGCATCTGTGTTCTTCAGGCTACTTTTTCATTTTGTCATTTCACTAAGAGTAACTGAGGTGCAAAGTTCAGCTTGTTAAATCTTTTTTCTTGTAATCTTGGTAGGTCTAGAAGAGAAAATAATATACAGGTTGCAGCATTAGGTTTGGTGATGTTATGGCCTGACTACTAATGCTTTCAAGATTTGTTTACATTTGTTAGTTTTCATTCTATGGTATTAGCAATAGCATACAAATAGGGGTTTTTTTCCCTGTATTGATAACAGTATTTTTCTGCTGTGAAGAGTGTCTTTTTGGAAAACTTGTGCTTAAACTTAACACATCCTAGTTTTTTTATATACTGTAAATCAAAAGTCTTTAACAGTCTCTTGCTTTTTGGCCTTTGATGCTGTGATCATCTGATGTGGATTTGTTTCTACCCTGATTTCATAATCTTCACCCTTTTTGTCTACTGAAGGCAAACTGCACAGAAATAGTAAAATTGCTCCCTTTACCTTAATTGCTGATAATTGAGGTTTCATTTTTTTCCACGTAATACTGTTTTTTTTAAATACTTGAAGTATTAGGGCTTAGAGAAGTTTATAAAAGAGCATCTCTAATACAATAAAACCCTGTAAGCTGAGCTATACTACCCTGGCTCTGAATCATTGATACTATCATTTCATTCATTCGTTTAGAAAAGGAGATGATTAAGATCTGGTATTTCAGAGGAACAAAACAGAAGAAAAAAAAATTCAGGTCTTGATACTGGAAATATGAATAAAAATATGTTTATTTTTACTTTGCAGTTTGCCTTTGAGAGGCTCTACTATACTATTATCTAAAGAGTGGGAATATGTGGAGGAGATCCAAAGTAGGAGAAAATGGGGTTACTTTATCAGAAACTGGAGTTCTCCTATTGGTCATCTCCTCCACTCACCCGCCATCCTCCCCACTGAGCTTTGCATCCTTGTGATCGGCTTCCAGTGTAGTTAAGGGAGCGTGGTATCAACCTGGATAAAGGGAGATGGGTCAACCTGTTTGACACATGCATGCTTACATACAAGAAATTCAAAATTTCAGTGGCTCTAAGGTAATTGTGACACCCTGAAGAAACTTCAAAAAGTGTTTTTCTGTGGAGGAGATTTTCCAATAGAATTCCAGCTAATGGTAAGTAACCCTGTTATGCATATTACGTAGATGCCAGAAACACTTGTGTATTTCAACACGCAACGGTGAAGAGTATAAAACATGTATTACTGTATGGTAATACTGCTTCATTTCTTTGAAGGTAGTCTTCAGGAACGTGTGGTGTTATTCACCAATTCAGTGTAATTTCCAGGTTTGTGACTGTCCAATTTCTGGCAGGTTTTCCAGTGAATGATAGCTACAATCAACAGCCTCAATTTCCAGCTGTACAGCAGTTGCAGGATTCAAGCACACTTGAATCTCAGGCTCTTTCAACGAGTTACCATCCACCAGCCCTTCTTCAGGTTCCAAATACAGACACTATTAATGTAGTAAGTACTGCTAGAAGACAGAATTCTGTGTTCAGAAGTTCTGCATTCACTGATGAGTTTCTTTGAACTATTTCCTTGGTGATAAGGTGAACTGAGAAGTCAGAAAAGGTTAATAATTTCCAGGTTGCTTAGGTTTAACAACTGGAACATAGACTGGCAGGGGGAGGAAAAAGTTGTACAGTTTAACTTTCTAGGCTTAAAAAGGATATCATAGATAGATTGCTGTAAAGTTGAATTGTAAGTTTAAGGAAAGGATCTAATGTTGTAAAATAATGTTATGTTATTGCACTACATTCTGTCCTAATTCTTTAATTTATATGAATATAGCAATGGTCAAGCGATAAAAATAGCACTACAAATGTGTAGTGATCATGGAGCTTGCATATTGCAGTGTATGATGTTCTTTCCTGGTTCTCATCTGGTTAAATCTTTAAACAAGCTGAATTGCTAAAAATACTGTTTAAATATACTTCTTCTGATGGTAGCAGTATCTAGCATGAAGGTCATCTGTAGTGTGTTTACCATGATGATCTTAATGAAATATTGTCCCTTTGTGCTTGTTTGCAAAGGCAAATGTCAGTCACAGAACGGAGGTGGGTTTTAGGATCTGGAAGTTTGAGTGATTTCCACCTATTCAGACATGCCGTCATTCTGGAGTATTATTCCATGGTGGATTTTGCTTAGAGGAAAAACCTGTGCAGTAAAAAAACCTGTAGTGAAGTCTTTGACAACCACTGTGCATTTTGTTACTTGGTTTGGGGCTCATACTGTTTAAAATGGCTGCTTTAGTGTTAAATTTAACCCTATAAACACTAGAAAATCTACAAGACTCAAGACATGTTTTGGTCTAGTCTCGTAGGGAGGTGTAAGTGCACCACATTGTCTGTTTAATTTAGCAGATGCAGATTTTCCTGCTTTCCTTCTCACTATGAAAGAGTGAGGTATCATTCATTGCACTCTTAATTTCTGTGAAAATTTTACGAAAGCATAAATTTGATTACTTGTGTTGACTGTGAATACTGTATTATTTTCTTGCCTATTTCTGTGACTTTATTTCAGTATTGTTACTGAAATTTACTTGAGGCTTTGATTTCTAGACTACTCGTTTGATACAAGATCAGTCATCACAAGAAGAGCTAGAATTACACACCCAAAGGCCACATTTTCTTGAGGATAATGAAGATCAAAGCAGGCGTTCATATAGGTTTGTTATACTTCGAAGTTCTGTCACAGAATTTCCTGAATCTTTTAAGGCTAGTAATCATATGCAACTAATGTAAGCCATTTTCTTTTAATAGATGTGAATATTGCAACAAGGGTTTTAAGAAATCCAGCCATTTGAAACAACATGTACGGTCACACACTGGTGAGAAACCTTATAAATGCCAACTCTGTGGCCGTGGCTTTGTTTCCTCAGGAGTTCTTAAGTCACATGAGAAGACACATACAGGTAATAGTATTAGCTCTGTATTAGCTTGACTCACCTTTAGGTTTTGTAAATGTCCTGTATAAGTAAACTTAAACACATGGCATGCTACTTATTTGTTTCTGTTACTTCAAGGAGTTAAAGCATTCAGCTGTAGCATTTGCAATACCTCCTTCACAACTAATGGCAGCCTTACCAGGCACATGGCAACTCACATGAGCATGAAGCCTTACAAGTGCCCATTCTGTGATGAAAGCTTTCGAACAACTGTTCACTGCAAAAAACATATGAAAAAACATCAGGCAGTCTCCTCAGCTGTAGCAGCAGCTACAGAAACAGGAGGAGGAGGTAAATTATTTCATTTTTATTCTTACAGTCCTTACTGTGTAACAAGTACAGATGTTTCAGGGGATTAGATGAGTGCTGTAACAGTAGTGCTATAGATTAGCCTTCCAGCATGGATAATGTCCAATGTCCAGAGCCACTGAAATTGCTCTTTTATCTACATTGTTTAAAGAAATCAGTTTTCCAGGAATCTGTTCAGTGTATTCAAGGTATTGTATGATGCAAAGTTATTCTAGTGTGTCACTGAAGTAGAACATTTTTTGTTTCAAATGACTTATATGTGTATTTAATTGCCAAAAACATAAGAATTTTAAATGCAGCTCTGTATAAAAGTATAGACATGAGTAGCTGACCTCTGAAAGATATTAAAGTCCAGGCATGTTATGTACTAGCTATGTGTTTAATAATAAACCCTTCTATTTTTGTGATTTCACCTACCAGATTAAAATAAACAGACATGCCTTTTTTTATTTATTTCTTTTTTAATAGTTGCATGTGCTGAAGATGATGATGAAAACCTTGAAAGAACTTCTAGAAAATCTAGGCCTGGTGTCATAACTTTTACAGAAGAAGAAACAGCGGAACTGGCAAAGATTAGGCCTAGAGAAAGTGCCACTGTCTCAGAAAAAGTTCTTGTCCAGTCTGCTGCAGAGAAAGACAGAATTAGTGAGATCAAAGATAAGCAAGCAGAACTGGAAGCAGAGCCCAAATATGCCAACTGCTGCAGTTATTGCCCTAAAAGCTTTAAAAAACCCAGTGATTTAGTCAGGTAAGGAAAAGAAAAATTTTGCATATATTCCATTTTCTGAATTGTTCACCAGAATCTTAGCAGTAACTTTTTATGCCTAAGCTGAAGTTTGACTTGTATTTCTGTCATTTTTCAGGACAGTTTAAAAATGTGTCAAAATATTATATATTCTAAATGTGACTAAGCTAGCCTTCTCATTTCTTTTCCTGCAGTATTAAAATTACTATAATGAAGTTTTAGAACAAAGTAATTTTTTCTTGCTACAGGATTTGCATATAAAAACATGTAAAAATCACTTTGAAAAAAGCAAATAAAAATAATTTTCTTATTTACAAGATTTGGTTAATGTAATGTTAATGTAAGTATTACAAAAGTAACTATTTCTACAAACTGTCATAAAAGTAGAAATTCATACACGTGTTCTGGAATTATTCAGGCATGTTCGTATCCATACTGGAGAGAAGCCATATAAGTGTGAAGAATGTGGAAAGAGTTTCACTGTAAAATCCACTCTGGATTGTCATGTAAAAACACACACAGGTCAGTAAAATTTTAAATCTTTGCTTAGAAACCAAGTCACTTCCTTGAAAGGCTGTTTTAACTAAAGATTTTGCAAGGAACAGTTTGTTTCACTGTCGTCTGGGAAAGAGCACGATGAATGGCAGTGCTAGGGCATCATCAAATGGATTATATGATGATATTTTGAATAAACCATAGTATTGCAGCCTTCCTTATTAATAGGCTTGTAAAGAAGTCATAGTCTTAGGTTATGGAAAATGTGTGTATGTATTTATAATATCTTAATTTAAAATCTGCTCTAGCATTTTAATGCTGAATGATTTTTCTGATTAAGGGGGTAGAGTTGGAGGATTTTATAAAATTAAGTTGAAGAAAAAATATTATAAACATTACAGTTTTTAATGTGAAGTAGATTGAAAATAAGAGTATAGACAACTTGAGCATTCAGCTATTTGGATTTTGCAATTTGAATATAAACCTAATTTCTGTAATAGTTATATTTTCACAGTAGTTTCATTGCATTCCTGTGAGGTCTGATTTTAATAATATTTTTCAACCCAAATTTTGCAGAAATTTAAAAAAATTAAAACCTCTTTAATTTGTTCATACTTGTTTCCTTCTTACCATTGAACTTCTGTAATAAACCCAATCCTAAACTAATTAATTTCTAAAGCTGACTAGTTTTCCATGATAAGCTTTTTTCAAAAATTAAAAAAAAAAAAAAAAGCTTTGAATGCTGTGATGTATAATTATGTTGTTTCTAGTGTATCTTTTTACTCACTACCTTTACTGGAATATTGTACATTAGTACTGGTTAAAAATGAATGGCCTCCAGTATATCCAGTAGTAGTAAGTTGCTTGATTTAAATTTGGGTTTCACTGTGCCTTTTGATGGTTTTGTTCCTAAGCCCACTAGGAATTGAATGGTTAAAGTTAGAAGAGACCTTAAAGATCACCAGGATCAAGCCTCCTTGCTGTGAGCAGGGATGCCTCCCACTAGACCAAGCTGCACAAAGCCTCATCCAACCTGGCCTTGAACACCTTCAGGGAGGGGGCTTCCACAACCTTCCTAGGCAACCTATTCCAGCACCTTACTATCCTCATACTTACTACCCTTCTTCCTGATAGTCTAAGTTGATGTCTAGTTCTTTTATTTGAGAAATAATGAGTTGTTTCCTGTTTCTCTTTTTTTCAACTTTTTATTATTTCACTGAGTTTCTAATAATATAAAACAGAGCTTTGTAAATTATTATTTTAATATCCTTAGCAGATAAGTTATCATTCATTCTCTTTTCCACATTATGCATATAACAATTTTGACTAGCTTGGGTCATCACTGAGCTACTGAGAGAACTCCCTTGCTGACTTCCAGCCTTAGGAAAATTGTGCATATAATCCTACCTTTTATATTCAGTCTTTTAACTTTTATTTATTAAAGGATTTGGTCCTTTCATCCTGTGACAGCATTTTTTTGTATAAAATCAGTGTAAAACTCAAAAAAAAAATCTAGAGGTAGTCTTGTCAGTGAAATTCTCGTCTCTCTGAAAGAGCTCTCTTAAATTTGTGAAGTGTAATTTTCACTACAAAAGCCGTATCATCTCTCCTCTATTATGATTAATTTGATCTTGTGTTTTGTATTGGTTTCTTTTCTATTTTCTTTTCTAATTGAGCCAGCTTGTTTTGGATGAACATGAAATTCAGAGGGTGATTTTCATCTGTGGACAACACTTACAGCTAATAGTTCATTGGTTGTATGTTGAGCCATACTGACTTGCTTAAATGAACAACAAAAGTTTGCAGTACGATAGTCTGAAACTCCCCTAACAACAGTTCAGTTTTGAAAAGCTACTCTGCTTCTCACCTGTAAAAGAAAGGTGACTGGATAGGAACCTACTTGACTTCATCTGTAATAAACTTTAATTAAATAATTAGTTTGGGGATTTACTGTAGCTTCTCTTGTATCACTACCTTTCTGATCAGCAGGCTGGCTGGAAGTTTTTCTGAGAGACGTACGGTGTCCTGATGTAGCATATGGTGGGGGAACTGAAGTCACACATTGGTTTTCTGCCTTCATTGCTTTCCTGATTTCCTGTGCATGTAACAGCTCTTGTTAACATTTTACTTGTTTACCCAGTAGTATGGATAATTGGAGAGGCAATAAAACATGCTTAATTTTACTATATTTGGAAGCAATTTGGCATTTGCCATTCCTGTGTGACTTGTCATGCCAATTTGTGATCATCTTCCCTTCAAGTTTCCCTTATGGCCACTTACTCTATGTTCATAGCTAGTTTTGTGTTCCAATTCATCCATCTTTTTCTTTTCAGAGGCCTAGTTTTTCTACAGAAAGCCCAGGAGTCAGGTCATAACCTGACTGAATATTTTAATGTTCTGTTTAAACAGAACTTCAGATGTTCAGGTTGTTCCTTCCTGCTTACTTGGTTTGTTCTGATAACTTTTGACTCTCTGGTCTCATTTTCTTCTCTTCCCCACTCCCCCAACCCTTTTCCCAATGGATATTTTTTTCTTTAGTGTGGAAGACTACTAGATGTTTTTCTTTGTGGTGCTCTGAATGTGGTAGACAGGTTTGCTGCAGCCCAGACCCCCGTTACCTTGCTGGTTCACATTATTCTTGGGTTCTTTTCTTCTCTATTATTTGAATTGTTGTCAGAGGTTTACTTAGTTTTGTTGAAGAAAAAATAACATCAGGGTTTTGCAATCTAAATCTGTAATTTGAAGTAGGTTGAATTGTAATTCAGGAATTTGATGAGGGATTATTTTGCATAAATGGAAACCAGAACTCAATAGCAGGAATCACAGGCACACATCAGTTTTGTGACTTCCTTACCAACTGTGAATGGCTCAGTAGTGTCTTCTGATCTGAAAGCTGAGTTGCCTTGTTTCAGGGTTGATCTCTAATGGTTTGCCAAGTAAAAAAAAGATTACTTAGTCACACTTAGTACTACTTTTTTTAAATGCCCATCACAGCTGTATAGAAGTCTTGAGCTTTACCCTTTGGTAAGGCAGCTATACAAAATATGTTAGTTTCTTTCCCTTATTTAGCTAGGTATCAATATTTTGCTGGAAGGTCTGGAAATTTCAGGACTTATAGTCATTTTTAGCCTCTGTGGCATGTTTTCTGCCAGCTATTTTTCATTACACTTTTCATGTATGTGCAGTTGATGAAATTAACTCAGTAGTTAACTATAACTATAACAGTAGTTAACTGTTGTTATTTGTAGTATATTAAAAATCCCATTTGAGACAGGATTTTTTTTTTCAGGTGTTATGCAAAGAGGACTGTATGTGTATAGACCAAATTTCTCTACTTCTAGATTACTGTGAGGTGGTTGGTATTTTGTTTAGAATACCATCTCAGTTACAAGTCTTATTAGTTTCCTACTTGCAGTTTATTAATGCTGGTTGGTATTGAGGTAAAGGCTGAAACAGCAGAATAAAGCTGCAGCAATTGAAGAAGTGAGGGGCTAAGTAAGGAAGAAGCCAAACGCTGAAGAGGTTGAGATGAAGCTTCTAATTCTTTTTTATGAGCTGTGTATTTGAAACAACTCAATTAATCAGGAAGGTGAGATGATGAGGAGGACAGAGGCATCAAGGTGACCAAAGAAAATTCTGCACAAAAGTTTTAACAGCATTTTGAGTTTTGAAATAGGCAAAGAATTAAGATACCCATCATTGAAATCCTTAATTCATTTGAAAAGCAGCCAAAATTCCAAAGAAAAAAGCAGGTAAATTCAAAATTATTCTGATTGAATTAGTTTAGAATCTGTATTTATTTATTTTTTTAATTGTTGCTACAGTGCTATTGAGTTTTAAAGGTTTTATCACTTACCTTTCTGGTTTTGAAACTTTTCCAGGCCAGAAGCTCTTCAGTTGTCATGTATGCAGTAATTCTTTTTCTACAAAAGGGAGTCTAAAAGTTCACATGCGTCTGCATACAGGAGCAAAGCCCTTCAAATGTCCACACTGTGATTTACGGTTTCGTACTTCAGGGCGCAGAAAAACCCACATACAGTGTCATTATAAACCAGAGACAAAGAAGGTTAGGAAGCCTGTCGCCCGTACTTCAGCTGAGGGACTACAGCCTGTTAGTCTTCTTAATTCATCTTCAACAGACCCTAATGTTTTCATCATGAATAACTGTCAATTTGATCAAAATTTACTTCAACAAGGACTCGTGGGCCAGGCTATCCTGCCTGCTTCAGTGTCAGGTAAAAATGGGTGACTTTTTAGTGGTGGTGTTGAGATCAAGTACTGAACTTTGCTTTCTGTTAGGGTTCAGAAAATTATGCCAAACACTGTTTCCAAACAGGTAAGAGTTGTACTGAGTTTGATGCACATTGGTGACCTAAATGAAATTTATTTATTTAAGAATGAAAGGGAAAATATTAATGCAGTTCACCTAAAGAAGTCTCTTCAGTTCTGCTGTGGGTATGCTGCAGAAAGGAAGAAAACACAGATAACAAGTAGCTGGAGTACTAATGTTTTCAGAGTATTACTCAGTTGCCTTTCACAGCTTAGATCATAGAGCGAAGAAGAGTTTGTCTGCAGTAGTTCTATGAATAAAACACTCTCTTCAGAGAGTGTTTTAAGTGCACATGCTCTGCTGCACATGTGTAGTTAATAGCCCAAAATAAAGTATTTAAAAAAGCACACACCCCAAATAAATTCTGACTGAAATACAAAAGTAGAAAATACTTTAGCGATACAAAAAACTGCTTGTGTGGATGTGTATGTTAAATAATGAAGTGTCTGGAATACGAAGTCTTACTAATTGACAGTAACTACAGCTACATTAGCAGATTAAATGTGCTGCAGACTATTCTTTGACTATGGCACAAGACGCTCAACACAGTTGATGTTGCAAGAAAATAATTGTTTGAGAATAACCCTTGAGAACATCTAAATTGCTTTCAGGAATTTTTTGTATAAGTGCTCACTGGGTTCAGGAAAGTTGAGACAGGGATGGTTTTGAGAGCAGAATACTGTTCAGGTGCTTGGAACTGTTCCCTGGTACTGATAATTTACTCCTGGAATTGTGGGTCTTGAACTGTCCATCTGTCACTTCTGAAAATGAGACTGATTTTCTGTGCTTCTTTGGCACTTTTTTCAGCACATGTTTATGATTTTGAAGGGATGCCCACAAATTCACAGTAATCTGTCAGTCTCATATTTAACTGTAGCCATTCCAGTTTACATGTTTTGACCTAAACTGTTGTCCAAAACCAATAAAATGCTGGTTGTTCGGAAGAAATTGGTGTTATTTGACAGGCATAATTAGTCATAAATTTGTGATTAAAAACTGTCTGATATTTGTTGAGATTTTTGAGTGAACATAATAAGAAAGAGTCTTTAGCATGTTCAGATATCCTAGAAAGAGGCAGGAACCTTCTGAAGTTGAGATTAGTGATGTGGGTTTTGCCCAAAGCGGGTATTTTTCGGCTGCATTGTGAAGCAAATGTATCATACTACATGATTTTGAAGAGGGAAAGGTAGATAAATATTTCTGAAGCATCAACCAAAAGAAACTGGTTGATCATGCTAAAGGTATTTGGAGAAGCAGGTGTGTCAAACCACAAGGAGGCTTTTCCTTATATTCTCTCAAGACCTTTTGCAGAGATGGTCTGTTCAACTTTTGGAATTAGGAAGTTTCTAAGTGCTAAAGATTTTGAATTTCAAATGCTAATGTACCTTTATTTCCATCAATGTGAGTACATAGGGTGAACTTTGATACCTTCTTGCACAATTTTCTGCTGTGCAAAATTTTGGCAGCAACTTTCGTGTGTGTTCAGAGTCAGAATGTACATATCATGTGCAAGTGCTGCTCATGTTTAGGCGCACTTCCCCAGGAAATTTATAGCAAATTTCTCCAGGTTTCTGAAGCTACTCTGGAGAGTGGTTCTTGCTTTGTAAGATGGTACCTGCTGCTTAAATAATAACAGTCCTTAAATTGCATGGAATTTATGAAGCTTTAAAATAGGCAGTCTTCTACTTCAAATTATTTTTATTGGCATAAACAAATGTCTGTTTGTATATCTTTTGTATTGAATTAATTTATAAAAATTAACAAGCTAAAAGAGGCGGTCAGTAATAATAAAGAAAAACATTATAACTGTTTTCTTTGGTAGCTGGAGGTGACTTAACTGTGTCCTTGACAGATGGTAGCTTGGCCACTCTTGAAGGAATACAGCTACAACTTGCTGCTAATCTGGTTGGACAAAATGTTCAAATTTCTGGAATAGATACCACCAGTATTAACAACATAACATTGCAGGTAGGTTCCTTATAGTTCCTTGCTTTTGATTTTAGTTGCATGGAGGGCTGAAGAAAGCTTAAGGAGCATGCAGAATTCTGGAGGAGTTCCCGTGAGTTCAGAGGGCATGCAGCAATACCATGCTATATTAGTTGTACCATGTTGGAAGACATACAAGAATAGATGCACAGTGGGTTTTTTTCCAAGTTTGGTTTTTTTACCTGGGATTTTGGCAGATTGCTTTAAAATCTGCAATTTTTTTCTTTAATTGTGTTTTGTATTTTTACTACAAAATCATTCTAGACTCCTCACCCAACCTCCCAGAAAGAAGTGTCCCTCCAGAAAAACAAACAAACCCATATAATTGCACAGAATGTTCTTTTCCTTAACATAAGACACCTGTGTTATTTGGCAAGCTTCCAATATTTGGATTCACAATTTAAATTCCCATTGAGTTTGTGAAATGAATGACTGAAAAAGGTGAGATGGTTGGAGAGTAGTGTAGGTGAAAGAGACCTGGGGGTCCTGGTAGACAGGAGGATGACCATGAGCCAGCAATGTGCCCTTGTGGCCAAGAAGGCCAATGGCATCCTGGGATGCATTAGAAAGGGTGTGGTTAGTAGGTCAAGAGAGGTTCTCCTCCCCCTCTATTCTGCATTGGTGAGGCCACATCTGGAGTATTGTGTCCAGTTCTGGGCCCCTCAGTTCAAAAAGGACAGGGAACTGCTCGAAAGAGTCCAGCGCAGAGCTACGAAGATGATTAAGGGAGTGGAACATCTCCCTTATGAGGAAAGGCTGAGGGAGCTGGGTCTCTTTAGCTTGGAGAAAAGGAGACTGAGGGGTGACCTCATCAATGTTTACAAATATGTAAGGGGTGAGTGTCAGGGGGACGGAGTTAGGCTTTTCTCAGTGATGACCAGTGATAGGACAAGGGGTAATGGGTGTAAATTGGAGCATAGGAGGTTCAAGGTGAATATCCGAAAAAAATTTTTTTACTGTGAGAGTGACAGAGCACTGGAACAGACTGCCCAGGGAGGTTGTGGAGTCTCCCTCACTGGAGACATTCAAAACCCACCTGGATGAGTTCCTGTGTGATGTACTCTAGGTAACCCTGCTTTGGCAGGGGGGTTGGACTAGATGATCTCTCGAGGTCCCTTCCAGACCCTAAGATTCTATGATGATCTAAAAATTTATATTTGAAATTATGTGCAAGAATTACTTTCATGAATTTGGTTGGTTGATCAGTTTCACAGAGTCATCGAGGTTGGAGGAGACCTCTGGAGGTCACCAGGTCCAACCCCAGGTCAGGAAAGGAACATGTTCAGAGTCGCATTGCGTTGCTTAGAGTGTGCTTAGAGTCTTGCTACACAAGAAGTTTTTAGCATAAAATGAAGTATATTGCAGTTTCGCTTTTCCCAATCCCCGTATCACAGAATCTTAGGGGTTGGAAGGGACCTCAAAAGACCATCTAGTCCAAGCCCCCTGCCAGAGCAGGATCATCTAGAGCACATCACGCAGAAACGAGTCCAGACAGGTTTTGAATGTCTCCAGCGAAGAAGACTCCACAGCCTCTCTGGGCAGCCTGTTCCAGTGCTCTGTCACTCACAGGAAAGAAGTTTTTTTCTGATGTTTACATGGAACCTCCTGTGTTCCAGTTTGTACCCACTGCCCCTTGTCCTATCACTAAACATCACTATAAAAAGCCTGGCTCTTTCCTCCAGACACTCACCCTTAACATATTTGTAAACATTGATGAGGTCACCCCTCAGTCTCCATATATGCCTAAAGTGTAAAATATATCTTTAACTGAAAAGAATGGCTGCTTGCCTGTGAGCTGGGACCTTAATGAGCTCTAGGAGCTGAGAAAATAGGTAATTCCTGATAGCAGTCATATCTCTGCTCTGTGTCTTTTCACTTTCAAAGACCTGAAGACAGTGATAAACGTTATCTAGATCAGTGAGACAGTATAGAATGCCAGCAGTGTAGGTACCTTGTGCTCAGCATGCTCATATCTAATTATGATCATGATTTTCCAAACATTTTGCTGAGGAAAGTGAGTGAGGTGAAGCTGAGTGGACTGTTTACATAGAGACTTTGGAGACTGGCTATGTATAGACACTTAAAATACACATTTAAGTTTAAAATGGGTATTTATAAAGTTTAATTCTGGATTTATATTCAGAATATTCACTTCACCTGTATTTGTTAACTTCAGATTGAAAACTTGCTTTTCAGATCGATCCAAGTATTCTACAGCAGACGTTACAACAGAGTAATTTACTTGCACAGCAGCTCACTGGAGATCCCAGCATGGCTCCACAGAATTCCTCCCTCCAGGCAACAGAAAATGCAGTGCCAGCTAATGTGGTGATTCAGCCCATATCAGGCCTGTCCTTGCAGCCCACAGTAACATCAGCAGCTAACATGACAATAGGATCCTTATCTGAGCAAGACTCAGTGCTGACAACCAGCACTAGTGGTAAGCAGTGTCAGTAGCTTTATTATGCTTTGAATTTCTTGGTATTACTTACAGTATTGTCTACAGTGAGAAAATCCCCACCACCCAACCTCCTGCCAAATACCTTATTTAATAAAATAAACATACAGTTCTTGTATGAGCATCTTCAGCAAATTTTACAACTTTTTACTATTTTTTTAGTATAATTTTTGCAGAAGGTGAACATACTGAAGAATGTTTATAGTCTTTAGAAGAGCAAAAAAGCCTTGTTCCAAAGATCTTAACCTGCAGAGGACTAAATTGGGTATTACAACAATTTTTTTCATTGTAGTACAAATTTTAGCATCTTACCATGGCTATGTCTTTTATAGTAGTGCAGAAAATAGTATTAATTGCTTTAAAAAGTTGTGTCTATTATAAAGAATCTTCATGGATTTCTTTTTTTTCTACTCACTTATATTTAGGTGCACAGGACATCTCTCAGGTCATGACTTCACAGGGTATGGTATCATCCTCAAGTGGACAACATGAGATAACATTGACCATAAATAATTCCAGTTTGAGTCAAGTTCTAGCTCATGCTTCAGGTTCTACTACTACAAGCTCATCAGGAAGTCCTCAAGAAATCACTCTTACAATATCTGGTTGGTATTTTTAAAGAATTGTAATGGTACCAGATACCCATTTTATAAGGTAGTGATGCAGTACCTATTGAGGGTATTTTCACAGTGGCATAGGAACGAACAGGGCAGGCATTGGGGATGAATTTACTTGATCTAGTTTTCTTTAAATATCTGTGGAACCATGTTTGAGTAGATGTTATGTTCATTCTTTGAGGTGTACTATTCAGTCTTTATAATATGTAGTTAATACTTCAGGTCTTTCTGAATAAATATACAACCACTGTTACTGCCTCTGAGGCTGATCCTATATACACTATACATGCCTTTTACTTCCCGCAAAGCAAGTATGCATTTTGTATCATAACATTTCTTTAATATTTTTTAAATGACATTTTAACCATTAGCTTTTAGTTTGCCTTTAGTTTAATGAAGTTGATGCCTTGAATCTAGATAAGCAAAATCAGTATTTGCCTAAATATTAATAATCTCAGGTATTTATCTTCATGTTAATATCTAGGCATAATCACATCTGTAAAAAAAAATTATTGAACCTCTGCATAAAAATTTGCACGTGTAGAAATTTGTGTTGGTTGTATTTTCTACTTTTATTATTTTATTATTACTTTTTTATAGTTCTACGTAAAATAGCAGAATAACATTGAGACATTTCCAGTTTTAATAGGACTGATTTCTATTCAGGCCAAGATCTTATTCAGCATAATTCTGGAAGCAGTGATCTGAATAGTGGCTTAAGGCTGACAGCACCAACCATCAACAGTCAGACTACAGGTGCTACATTAACTATAAGCAACGATCAGCTTCTTTCTCAGGGCAGTTCACTAAATTCTCCAGGTATGGACACAGTCATTTTTCTAATTAAAAATAATAAGATTTTGTTTAAATAAATATTACACCAGGTAACTGAATTTTAAGTAGTATAATTTTGTATGTTCTTACAGTTCAGGAGCTACATGGGTTTGTGTTTTTTTCTCAGTAGCTTTAAATTGTCATGCCAATGTAAATTAACTTTACTCTGCATAGTAAGAAGAAAATGAAAACAAGGCAAAATACCTAAAATTAGTACTTTGAGGCAGTTCCAGGAATACTGAAGGACTATTTCTATAAATTGGAGGATTAAGAAATCTGATATCTTTGCTGCAGACAGATGATAAAATAGCTTTTATATCAAATTTGCTGTATTGTTCAAATTTTAAGATTTTAAAAATATGTATGAATTTCTACCTATGTTTGTCTGTACACACAAACAAGTGTATTTAGTTGTTCATACTTCAGACCAGTGCATCAGATTGTGTTGGTTGTATCGATTGGTTTCAGCAGGTTGCGCTGATGCAGACTTATTAATGATATGTGAATAGTTTTCTTCATTTCTCCTATGCATACTTAAATTTTCTGTCTTCCTTTTCCTGTCTCCTTTCATAGCTTCCAGTAGAGCCCATAGATGTCTGTAAAGCAGATTTGCTTTAAAGTCATACTGGGGGAAGCCTGCCCCAGGCTATCCTGTAAGATGTGAAGATTAAGTCATGCTCTTGTCTAATGAATTAGTAAATGAAATAGTAAAAAAGTTGTATTGCACTTTCTGTATCATAGATTTTTGAGGCTTACATGAACTGAGAGTTCTGAGGTCTCTAGTCACATTTTGAAGAATCTGCAATAAAATATTATGCAGCTGTTATAAGAAACTGGCCTTTTTTACTATTCTGGATTATCAACCACATTGCAAGGATAAAGGTGGGAGTTAGTGAATTTGGGTTTTACTGCCTGAGCCACAGTACATTTCATTGAGGTATCTGAAAGTGGTCAGGCTATAGGAGTGTGTCACCTGTGACTTCTTCAGGTGTTTTTTCAGTAATGAGATGCCATGTTACAAAGTTACTGGTTATTGGTTTGCAATACGATGCCCCTCAAGCTACATTTAGATGTAATTTTTCTAATTAACATCAGACTCAGAGTTCTTGACATGTGATTAGCTGTTTAACTGATTTATTTCCTTCCAAAAAGGAAAGACCTAGTAAATGAGAAATAGAAATTAAGTTCAGTTAAGATGAGTTTGCAATTAAGAGTTTATGAATATAACAGGTTATTTATTTTTTTTTCCTACTTGGTGTATATTCCAGAACTTAATACAACAGGTGGAACCAGCCTTCCTTCCACTACACCCATATCTCAGTCTACAGTTTCTGCCCAGAATTTGGTAATGTCTTCATCGGGAGTTGGAGGAGATGGTAGTGTCACCTTGACTCTTGCTGACACTCAGGGAATGTTGTCAGGTGGTCTTGATGCTGTTACCCTTAATATCACTTCACAGGTAAGAAATGCATTTCTAAACTCACAGATAATACTACTGTCTTACAGGACAAGAATTGATTAACTATTCAAACAGAAATACAGATACATTTTGCTGTTGGTTTTTTTATGAACAGATAGGTTCTACTGTTTCACACATGGATTGAGATCAGCTTTTAGTGATAAACTAAACTGTACGCTTATTCATCACTATTGAGTAATGCAACTTCGTATTCCTAAACCTTTTATTGTTTAAAATGGTAAATTTTTCTTTTTCTCTTTGTAAACATGAGAGTTGATGAGCAGTTGCAACAGATTATTTCACAGCAAATAACAGGACAGAATCTAAAGTAAATGTATTTAAGAACCAGTAGGGGTTGTAAGACATTCTTTAAGAATATGTATTCTCATTTCCCCAGGAGCTTTAGCATTACTTTCATTTTTATTGTAATATTTTTTGAGGTGTCATCAGGATCCAAAGACATATTGACAAGTGGAATGCCTAGAGTGAGAAGAGAATAAAAGAAAATAATAAATAAATAATATTAAAATACTAGAAAGTGATAATGTAGGGTCATTGTGTGATTGGCATTTCAGTGTAGATGTGACATCTGAAAATTTGGGCTTTTGCTTCTACTTTATGGACTTAACTAGATTTAAACTGATTTTTACTTACTTTTTGACTCAAATTGAAATGTGTAAATGGTTTAAGGGAAAGACCATTTGTCTAACCTATGGTGTGATTAAACGTGATGAAGCAGAGTCTGTGAGGATGATTGCAGCATACAATCTCTCTGCAACTATACTCCAGGGAGAAGAAGAAAAGATTTCTTAAGTAGTTCTTATGACACATTTGTTATTTCTGGCACTGCAGAGTAGCAAAACAACTCGTGGTTTCTCTTCAGACTTTGTAATAATTTAAGCAATTACATTAGGCAGTGTTGATGTTTATTCGTAAGATACTGTGCTGGATGTTAAGGCAGGCATGAATAAAAATGAAACATTATTTTGAATATTATGCCAACACCGTCTGTGGTGCAGGAATCTTGGTAAACAGATAATACATAAAGGTACTGCATTTCCTGGGGAAGTTGAAAAGTCCGTAACAGTACTGTAGAAATACAAGTAGTAGTGTGATATTAGTAGTTGTGTATCTTAATTAGTAATGTTTACCTTGATCTAATGTATTTTGGAGGTAGGTTTAATTAAGAGATTAAAAAAAGGAAAATGTGGGAAAACTATGCAGGAAAGCAGAATAGAGGTGTTAAAGTATCAGCTGAAGAGACAAAGACAAGAAGGCTGAGACATTGAGCAACTGATGAAAGGCTAGGAAAAATTAATCAGAGCTGAATGTCTACTATTACAGACTTGCAGCTGTTGTTACTCTTCTATTGGTAGACTTAAAATGGAGGGAGAAAAGGAAAGAAGATAGTAGTATTTGTTCAGATAGGTTTCTGGAATGGACTTTTTCAAGGGGAAAAAAAGTAGTTTTGAAGTATAAAAATAATTTGTGACTGCAATTAGCTGTTTAAATGCAGCCATTGTACTTTTTCTTTTCTTTTATTCCCTCTTTGACAGGGTCAGCAGTTCCCTGCCATACTCACAGATTCTGGTCTCACCAGCCAAAGTGGGTCAGGCTCACAGCAAGTCATACTGGTGAGCCATACACCCCACTCAGCATCTGCAAACTCTGATGAGATAACATATCAGGTAGGCACAATATATTTATTTATCTTTTGTCAGTAAAGTACATTATTTAATCAAAATACTGAAATGATTCCTTTATATCCTGAAATGGGAAGGATGGTGTTATTCCCAAATTAGGAGGAGTTTCATTGTGACTTCTTAGTCACACAGCTTCTGTTTTAAGTTTTGAGTTAAAAACACTTTTTCATATTAAAACAAATTGCAATTAATAATGTATTTCTTTCAACAAATTGCAGAGCCATGCTCTCAACACTGACTGCTCAAAAAAAATCCCAAGTACGACTGCAGTTAGAAAATAGATTTTCCATTTTCTTTTTGTGAAGAAATTGCTTCCCAAAAGGTCTTTTTGAATTTTTGTGTATTTGAATTTCAGTAGAAACTTTTGCATATGTACTATAGTGTTAATATTCAGAAAAGTAGTTCAGACTTCTCTTGTTGAAGGCAGAATGAATGTTTTTAACCAACCCAGTAAAACAGGAAAAATGGGAGAGGCAGATGGTGACCCACAATCAAGTGAAGAAGTGGTTGACTGGATTGGCAAGCAGAAGGCAAGATGTAGGCAAGTTGTGGCTGATACAGGCAACAGAAACTTAAAAAAGAATAAGGACTGAAGGGAGGGAGCCTACCTCAAGTGTGTGTGTATAAATAAAGGTGCTGAGATTGCAACATAATGGGGGAAAATCCCACATTCTTCTTGAAAAAATTGTCACAGCTGAATGTCTCTCTGAAGTGCCTGTACACTAATGCATGCAGCGTGGTGAACAAACAGGAGGAATTAGAGGTCTGCATGCAGTTGCAGGGCTGCCATCTCACTCGAATCAGAGAGGAGGTGCTACAGCTCTCACAACTGAAGCACTGCCATGGCTGGATTCAGGATCTTTAGGAAGGACATACCAGCAAGACAGCAGCAAGAATGTATGGAGCTCTGCCTGGCTGGTGAGCTGAGACCTTCTGGGAAAGGACTGGCAAGCAGACCAACATGGGTGAATACTAGCCATCTGTTGCATCTGATCAGGAAGAAATAGCAGATGAGGCTTTCATCGTCTTGGGCAGCCTTCCCTAGCTAACCCTTCTTGAATTAGAGGAGTTGGACTCATCTCAAGAGGTGCTTTCCAACCTAATCAATTCTGTGATTTGCGTTTCCTGGTCTACATGGCTTACTTCAACCTGTCTAGTAAGATCTGCTGGAAGGGCAACAAGGAATCTATGAAATCTCTGGAGTACATTGATAACTTCCTGATATAGACAACTGAGAAGGCAGCAGCAGTGGTGTTCTTCTGGGCCTGATAATTGCTAACAAGGAAGAACTGATCAAGAACATGAATGTCAGGGGCATTCTTCGTTGCATTGACCATGGGATGGTGGAGCTCAGGTTCCTGAGGGAAGAAAATAAGGCAAATAGCAGGCTAAGAGAGTTGGAGTTCTTCAGCCTGGAGAAGAGAAGGTTCTGCAGAGACCTTAGAGCACCTTCCAGTACCTGAGGGGGCTGCAGGAAAGCTGGGGAGGGACTTATTGCAGGGATGAGTAGTGAATAGGACAAAGGAGAATGGTTTCAAGCTGAAAGAGGGTAAATTTAGATTAGATATTAGGGTAAAATTCTTTTCTGCAAGTGTGCTAAGGCACAGGGAACAGGTGCCCAGGGAAGCTGTGGCTGCCCCATCCCTGGCAGTACTCAAGGTCAGATTGAATGGCGCTTGGAACAACCTGGTCCACTAGGAGGTGTCCCTGCCCATGCAGGGGGATGGAACTAGATGATCTTTAAGGTCTTTTCCAACCCAAACCATTCTGTTGTTCTGTGATTGCAGCCTGGAACATCAGGAGAACAGACTTTGATCTTTTCAGGGATCTGCTTGGAATAATTGTACAGTAAGGAAACCCAGAGAGAATGAGGACCAGAACAGCTGGTTGATTTTAAATATTGTCCTCCCCCAAGCTCAAGAATCATCAGTCCTAATGTGTAGGAAACTAAAGGCAACAGGAGGCCAGCGTGGAGGAACAAGGAGCTGCTGACAGAACTCAGATTTAAAAAAGAAGCAGAAAAGTGGAAGCAGGATCGGGTGACCTTGAAGGAGTACAGAGACGCCATTCAAGGAGGCAGGGATGAGTTAGGAAACTAAAAATCCACCTGGAGTTGACTCTGAAAGGGACATAAAATGTAACAAGATGGACTTTTACAGGTGTACCACCAGGAAAAGGAAGATGCAATATCCTGCTGCTGACTGGGGCAGAGGACCTGGTGACAGAAGATTTGAAACAGACCAATGTACTGTCACTTTAGCTTCAATTTACTGGTAAGATTTGTCTTGTGCAATCCCAGATCACCAAGATCAGAGAGAAAGGGTGGAGCCTCTATACTGAGTAGTGGATTATTATATCCAGATCCATTGGTGATGGGATGTAGTGACTGCTAAGGGAGCTGGCTGATGTCATCAGACCACTGTCTGTTATCTTTGAAAGATCATGGCAATCAGGAGAGGTTCATGAGGACTGGGACAAAGCACAGGTCACTCTGGCCCTCAAGAAGGGCAGGTTGGAGAATCTGCGGAAGTAAGGTCAGTCACTCTCACCTCAGTCCCTGAGAAGGTGATAGAGCAAATAATCCCGGAAAGCATTTCCAAATACAGGATGGACAAGAAGGTGTTCAGGAGTCGTCAGCAGAGATGTACAGAAAGGAAAACATGCCTAGCTGGCCTGAGAGCCTTCTGTTGTGAGATGACTGGCTTGGTGGATGAGGGGAGCAGTGGATGTGGTTTATCTTGACTTTAGTAAGGCTTTTGATGTCGTCTCCCATAACCTGCTTGTAGGCAAGCTGATGAAGTATGAGCTAGATAAATGGAACAGTGAGGTGGACTGAAAAGTGACTGAGCTGCTGGGTGTGAAAGGGTTGTGATCTGTGGAGCAAAGTCTATCTCAAGGCCTGTCATTATTGGTGACCCCCCTGGTTCAAATAGTGGGGCTAGTACTGTTCATTAATGCTCTTTAAGTGACCTGCATGATAGAATAGAGTGCATGATCAGCAAGTTTATGGGTGATAGACCTCTGGAAGGAGTGGCTGACAAGCTGAATGGATGTGCTCCTGTGCGGAGGGCCCTCAACAGGCTGAAGAACTGGGCCAACAGGAGCCTTACAAATATCATGAAAGGGAAGTACAATGTCCTGTCCCTGGAGAAGAGTAACCCCATGCACTAGTACACACTGAGGGCAGTAGGAAAGCAGGTTTTTAAAGAAGGACCAGGAGTACTGGTGGGTAAGTGGTTGTCTGTGAGCCAGCAATGCAACAAAGAAGGCCAGCAGCATCCTGGGATGTGTTAAGAAGACTGTTACCGGCTGGTCAAGAGGGTTGATCCTCCCCTCTTCTCAGTAGCAGTGAAAACACACTATCTAAACTGCTGCATCCAGTCCCAGGCTTCCCAGTACAAGAGAGAGATGGATATCCATTATTGGGAGGGAGTAAAGCACATAGAGCCAAAGTCTTTTCAGTAATACTCAGTGAAAGGTCAAGAGGCAATGGGCACAAATCAGAATAATTCCGAGCACAAAGAAACCCTGTTTCACTGTGAAGGTGGTTGAACCCTAGAAGTTGTCCAGAGAGGTTGCAGAGTCTCCATCCTTGGTGACATTCAGAACATGTCCAGTCATGGCCCTGAGTGTGCTCTGGGGACTAGACGATCTCAAGCCACCCCCTCCAACTTGAACTATTCTGTGTTTCTAATAACATTTCGTAAGTGTGATTTTTATATTTGCATATGCTTATATGTGTCTGTTTCTAGTAATGTTCGTGCTCAAATAGTCTGCCTATGGATGTTTTAAAATTTAACATGAACATATTTTCTTACTCTTCTGAATTTAGAAATAGATTTTTTTGTCTTTTAATACATGTGCTTCATAAATCAGATTGCATTTCATAAGGCCATAATGTTACTTGTAAAGGGTGACTTTGAGCAGTACTATTGTAATAAGTGAAAATGTAATACTAATGGTACACTAGTTTTACCTCATACTTTGTCATGTGTTTTATTTAATCATGGTGAGTGAATTTATTTTCAACAATCGTTACTTTGCATCTACAAGTTGAAGAAATTATGTTATTTTATTAAGAAAGTTATTTTTTTCCAAACACTCATCATTTGATTAAAACAAACCAAAAATGCAGCACGACCCTATCCAAATTTTATTAACTTGTCACTGTATTTCAGTACTTCTGAACAAGTAGCTCAAACAAGTAGCTCTTGGTAGCTCAGAGCTTTATTTCCCCAGTCCCCAGCGAAGAGATTAAACAACAGAAAATCTCTGTAAAATCAGAGATACTTTCTTTTTTGTCTGAAATACTTTTGGCTTTGATTTTGTTCAGTGAGAAATGTGAGAATCATCTGAAATACTCAGGAATATATAACTGAATATAGAAAAATACTGATACAAACATTCTATTTATAATACTTGTTTTCTTAAAATACATATATCTGTCATTCTTAAGAGCAATGAGATATGCGTTCATATTTACATAAAATGTATTTTCTTTGTGTGGATAAGTTGCTTGCAAGTACTCTCCAAAAGTGGACTTTGAAAAATAAGCCACTGTTGTGGTTGTGCCTATGAAATTATTTGACAGTGTTTTTGTTAATTGTTATAGGTGACAGAGGTTTCTCCTAGTGTGACTAAGAGCAGTCAAGCAGAAAAAGAAAGTCGTGTGCACCAGTGTTTTGAGTGTAGTCAGACCTTTTCTTCAGCCACCATGTTGATGCACCACAGTAAAGAGGTCCATGGCAAGGAGAGAATACATGTTTGCCATGTCTGCAATAAAGCATTTAAGCGGGCAACACATCTCAAGGTATTTGGTAATAACAGTTAATTCTTCTGTTAACTCATTCTTTTGGGCTCTTTGTGGTAATAATGAAAGGTACCTGTTATCCCTTTATCTTTCCTTTTATGGTGTGAGGGGTGTGCATCTGAGAAAGGGAGTTGAAGTGATAATTTGTACACAGAGCAGTCTTTCCTGAACCATGGAGAGGATTTTAATGCATATATATTGGCTACTGAATGAAAAATGTGAATGCCTGTCACGTAAATAATAGTGCCAGAAAAAGATTTTACTTAATTTGCTTATGTTTGTCATCACTGCTAATCCTGATTTCCAGCTAAGCTTTTGGGATCATAGGGAGCTGTCTGCTTTGCACCATATAATTTGATTTTCAGATGATCAGTCTTGTAAGTGAAATGACATCTGCTGAGGAAGCATTTGTTTTAAAATATCCTTGTATTGTTGATGTTTTCTGGTGATATTTTCTAGGTAGTTTTCTCTAGATTATGAACAACCTGATATTTCCAGGTCTTTCGAAAAAAATTGGTGGTGTGTTTAAGTTTTTAATTAGATTATAGAATGTTTCTGTTAGGAATACTGGGCTGTACTAGTCAAGTGGCAAGTCCAGGCCAGTATCCTATCTCTGAAAGATACTTAAAGGCAGTGTTTTGAAGAAATGCTTTACAAAAAAAGCAAACGTATACTATGACTTGCACAGATTTTTTTTCCAGCTTCCAAGAGTTTATAGAAGGAAATTTCTGGAGCCAAAGGCAATGTCTTTATACTAAGTAGCTCTTAGGAGAGCTTTTCCATGGATTTTCTTTCACTTTAGTATCATGCTGTGGTTTGTGAATGCACTGTGATTTTTTGAGAAGACCATTTTTTATTTCCCTGTAATACTATACTACTGTAATTGCTATGATGATAATATTCTCTGTAGCTGTCTTGCTGATTTTTCAGTGAAAAAAATCTGTAGACACAATTTTCTTCAGTTCAGGGAGTGGGGAACAGGACTTCACAAACATCAAGAAAGCTTATTGTTCAGGTGTTGTAAAGACTAAGTAATAGTCTAATCTGTAATTAATAGACTAGAAAAGAATATCCACGCACATTTTGGCAAGTGGGCAAGTATTCACTGTACTGTTTCACATGCAGTTCTTGTTTAGATTTTTAAATCAAATGTATTTGTTTTCTTTTGCAATCTGAACTGTATCTTTGTGTTAATAAAGATAATGAAAAGTAAAAGTTTATAGATAAGATACTCCTTTAAATTTGCAAAACTTCTGGGTTCAGTGTCAATGAATTAAAAACATTGAAGTTAGAACTGTTACTAATGCATCTTTGTGAAGATAAAACATCACACCCTCCTTCTGCTTCCTTATCTGTAATGACCTTAATGATTTTTATTTTTATGTTAATTTAAGAGGTGATTGTGAAGTGGCTCTATTTGCATGTTGACATTGTGCATGTTCTTGTGTTCTGTTGATAGTCCCTTTTTGAGGCCTGTACAGTTTTGCAGTGATGCTTATACAGGTGCTGGGTAGGAGGAATACCTGATACCTGTGTATCAGCAAGGAAGGGAGATGGATACTGAATCCAATATAAATTTAAAGCATACAGTTGTCCAAAATCCATGTCTGTAAGTGAACAAAGCATTTGAAGAGCTCTGTTTTACTTTGTTTTGTTTCATATAATTAGTGAAGGGACCATAGTATGCAAAAAAAGCGATGAATGTACTTATTGACAGGGGTTTTCAGAAATGTAAAGCTACTGATGCATCAGCATTACAATCAGTTGATATACAAAAACAATTCCTTATTTAAAAGAAAAAAAATGCAGGCTGCAGCCTTCTTCCAGCTTGTCTGCTGATGACTAAGATCCTCTGCTTTTGTCTTCAAAGTGTGAATATATTTCTGTTAAACACTGAAGTTTTTTTAAAATGGTGTGAAATGTAATTTTTTTCTATTCTGCCTTAGGAACACATGCAAACCCATCAGGCTGGACCGTCACTGAGTTCCCAGAAGCCTCGAGTGTTTAAGTGTGATACTTGTGAAAAAGCTTTCGCTAAGCCAAGCCAGCTGGAGAGACACAGTCGCATTCACACAGGTAACACTAGAAATTGATTTTATCTCATAACATTTTCTCATGAATATATGGGTGTTATATTCGGAGTCCTTGCTCATGGTTTCCAGTAAATGCATTTGAATATCAGCTTAAGCTTAAAAAAAAATGACATTTCTAACCCAAAGAGTTTAGAAATTTAAAATGAGAAACAGCATACTTGAAATCTCAGAAACTCTGATTTTTTGTTTAAAGCCAGAACAGCACGCTTAGTGGTGTGACTAAGCTTCTCCATAATTTGGGACTGGCAGTACTGTAACAGTAATGTGAATGCATGAGCTTGTATCTGAAAGTCTGTCAGTCTTTTGAAATGGATTAATAAAAGCATGTTTTAAAACATAGTTTAAAGTTGTGTAAAGACACTGGATGTGATCTTCAAATGTATATGAGAATGTGCAAATGAGTGGGTGTGCTCAGTGAAGTTTAAGGGACAATCTTGACTGCTGCTACTGACTGCTGTAAGCAATGCTTCATTGTCATTGAACTACTTAATATATTTCTAATGCCAGTGCTTTTAATTTGTTGTGTTGTTTCTGCAGAATAATTTTCTTCAACTTTTAACTCTAAAAAGGCTATACTGACTTCTCTTATGGAGCATTTTCTCTGATAAAAGTGCTCTTCAGGTTGCAGCTTCTGCCCTTCTACAAATTAAAAGCTGTATATAGGATAACCCAGCTGCCCTTCCCCTTCACCTTCTGTATCTTAACAGTGTTCTTAAGGACATGACTTCTAAACATAGGAGTCAGTTCTCTGAAAAATCTCTCATACCACTATTACCAATAAAGAGCTGTCATGGCTTCTAGAGTTAAAAAGGACAGGGGAGAGTTGTGTTGCTACTAAGCTGGAGGGGACTGAGCAATTTGACTGGATGTGCTGTAGTATAAGAAGACTTATACAAAACGATAACTCTTTTTCAGTGAGTCAGCCGGAGCTTTTTCTTTCCCCAGTATCAACTTCTGGTAGTTAGCTTTTGGTTGCCTTTCACACATTTAAAGCAAAGTTCCTGATCTCTTCCTCCAAGTTATCTTGTTAACCCTGTCACTTTTCCTTGGTTAGCATCACTTGCCGTTCTTGTGACATGTAATTTGAGTTTCATCTTTGAACGAACCTTAACTTTGCACCTTCATATTCACTCTTGCAGTTTTTAGTATGGAATCTCTGAAGTGTAAACTTGCCTGTATATCCAAGCGTCTTGTCATTTAATGCATCAAAGCTTTATTTTTTCTGGCTTTGACAAGCAAAATCTTACGTAAACACACACACACTCTCACATGCATTCTACCTTGCTGGTCTAAATGTTTATTCAGTAGTATGTTTGAATTCTTTTTCTTTGTCAGTATGACATGCGATATGCTGTTGATCTCTTGGAACCACTGTCAGTATTGATAATTTGCATTCCTTCCTTTGTCCTTACATACTTGCCTATCTGTTAATCTATTTTCTCCTACATTATGTTTGTAACAAGTTGTTAAAGGTAGAGTCTGTCTCTTCACTCTTTTTTTTTATGAAGCAGTTAATATGGCAGAGCTTCAATCTTAAATCTAAGGCTGTGTACTTGATGTTACGAATAAGAAATGATAAAAGGGTTTCCAAGGAAGAGAGACAAAAAAAGTAGATTAAGCTGAAAACATGTTAAGGTTGCCACAGTCTAGGAAGCTGCTTTAACTTCCTATCTAGCAGTGGCCATATAGAAAAGTAATTGTGAGGTGATGAATGCTCATACTTAGTTCATACTTAGCATTGCACTTAAGCACATACTGAGACATAACTAGTTAAAACAAGGCCATAGTTTTCCTATCTGTGCTTTCTAAGTAGCTTTTACAGTATATCATGAGGTTTGCAAAGAAATTAATATAGTCTGAGACTTGTTTTACTATGGGAAAAAAAAAAAAGAATAATTGGAGAATAATTATTCTATGATTCCATATGTTTGTGGATGAATTAGATCAGGCCCATACCCTCCCTGTGCAGCCTACTGTGGCATTTTTTTATTGATTCTGATAAACTGAATTTTGCTCATTTCAGATGCCTGATTCAGCACATGATTCGTATACTATTAAAGTAGGAGCCAGTAATTGCAAGAGCTGTTGCTCCTTCTTTGCACTTGAGTGTTTGAGCTTTGAGGTGTTAGTCCCAGTTCCTGGCCCTGGCCTCTTTTCACATTTCATTCAGTTGCTGAGGACTCTATAGCAGGAAAAGACTGGAGGTCGGATAGAGAGGGTTCATGAACTTGGTGAATTTATTGATTGAGGTCTTTTGCAAAGGAAATCCTGAGATTTGGGAATCCTAAGAACAGGTTTAGAGATAATAAGTTGGGTAGGAAAGAACAATATCCATGGTTTAGGACTTACGTAAATACACTAACATGTAATTTGGAATGTTTTGCTGGTGATATGGAGCCATAGCACTGTTTTGAGAAAGTTTCAAGGGAAAAGATCATGCCTACTTAATTCCTAGCTCATCTTGATGATTTTTACAGAATTCTGCAATGTTGAAATGAGAAATTATTAAATATGTTTTTCTCTTTTCTAAGGGGAACGGCCATTTCAGTGTACACTATGTGAAAAGGCTTTTAACCAGAAGAGCGCTCTTCAAGTCCACATGAAAAAACACACAGGAGAGAGGCCTTACAAATGTGATTACTGTGCAATGGGATTCACACAGAAGAGCAATATGAAACTGCATATGAAACGGGCTCATGGTTACTCTGGTATGTAGCATAATGATAGTAATGGTTGAGTGCAGAAAGAGACATTCCTTACTAGGAAAGCATTGAAGAATTAGGTACTAAGAGCAGAGTTGATGAGCTACTAGTTGCATGTGCAACCCAAAAAACAGGTTGAAACAGAGTTTAGTTACTGTTTATGGTTTCTTGTTTTTATGTGGAGCACAATAGTGCAGAAATAGAAAGTTCAAAAACTATTACAGGAAAACAACTGATAATATTAGAATTTTTTTTTATTTTTCAAAACGCTTGTAATGAATTTACAGAACCTTGAAGTAGTTGTGTAATACATTTCCCACCATGATTCCTTTATTCCAAAGTGGTATATTTGCATTTTTTTTTACACCACACATCAAATCATACTCATTCATCTTTTTCTCTTGTACTTTGGTAGGTCCTGTTCAGGAGCCTGCTAGTCATCAAGAACAAGAAGGGGAAGATATTAGTCGTGCTCTGAATTTAGAAGAAGTGGTACAAGAATCTTCAAATGAATGGCAAAGTATTGGCAATGTTTTTCGATGACACATCAAAATTTGAAAGCTAAAAATGTGTCTGGGAATCAAATTTCTCAAAACAAATATTCAGAAAAGTAAAAGATGAATTTTACATGTAAAGCTTCAAGCATTGAAAATATTAAGGATAGAATAATATATTACAGTTTTTTTGATTATTTACAGAAATTACCTAAAAGAGTCATTCTTTTTTTAAGCTTGTAGAAGAGTATTGCAAAAACGTCATTTAATCTGTGCTAAGTTATCTGTGAATCAATGAACTCAGGTAATACTGTATACAGTTTCATCTTCTAATTCACAGCCAGTTTATCTATTTGAAAAATAAACTGGAACTTTATATCAGAATAGAATGGTTCCCATTTTTAAAGCAGTTGACAGATAACTTTGTGGGAAAACTATGAAACTGTCAACTTTCTTTTCTACCTGTTTAAAGAAATAATTAAGGTTGGAAACAAAATGTTACAGAGTAGATGGATGCAGTATAAAATACTTTTGGGATTGGTTTGGTTTTGTTTTTTACTAGCCACAGGTAAATGCTGTAATTCCATTTTAAGCTTTTTCAGTATTTTCAGAATTTGTTGAAAAAAGTGAAATGCCATGAACTTACAGCTTGAGAAGGGAGCGTGTTCATTTCCATTCCAACCACAGAGACAGTTAGTTGTTAGTTTTTGCATTAAAAGTCTGAGGTTTTAAACTCAGCAATAATTATTTAGAAAGAATCCAAACTAGAAGAGGTTCCAGTGAAAGCCTCTTCTTTCTTTTATGTTTGCAGTGTTGGATCAGCAGGTACATACCTCAGTATCTGTGGAAAACACAGCCATATACTAAAACTGGGAAGTAAACTTAAAATTTTGTTAGCAATGAGAAAGTTAGATGCACACTAGGTCACTTACATTACACTATATTTCCTAATGCTGTAAACAGTCAATAATTTCAAATCTGTAAATTCATTTTTATTTTCTTTGTCAATTTTGGGAAAATGTTACTTTTCTTTGTTGTTACTTCAGTCGCTGTTTCAGCAAAACTACCTAATTGACTAAGTAATGCTTTGAAAGGTGCCACTTCTTAAGTATATTCATAACAAAGAAACACTGGAGTAAAAACAGTCCTCTTTTAGACATTCCAAAGACAGAAGCTCTTTTCTTATTTTTACATTATTCTTTTGAATTTTATTTATGTTACATATATATATATATGTGTGCTTGTATGTGTGTATATATATATATTTAAAGTTATATGAGCCTCTGTGTGGCTGAACAGTATATTTTGTAAATAGAAATACCAGTCGCAGGAAGTTCATCTTTTTGGTTTGCTGCAAGTACTTCTGGATCAGTGGTGGATTTGTTGTATTATAACAGAGAGCTGGATTTTAATTTACCTTCTGAAAGATAATTGCTCTCAGATCCAAAAAAGCCCTTTCTGTAAATATTGTCTATACTTTGTCTATGATACAAACTAGTTATTTCAGAATGCTTAAGCAAGAAATCTCTGTTGGTTTTGATAGAGCATCTCTTGATTCTTTTGCTAACTCTTTGGCATATGTATATAAGTAATATAGTTGGTGACATGAAAATAACACTTTTGTTATGTGGAATATTTAATTCAAAAACATGTTAAATAATATTACTTTTTTCCAAATTCTGTTTCGTGTCTTTTTTAAGCATTTTACTCTGGATTCTAGGAAATTCTAAAAAGTCCATTTACCAGAACTGTGAGTCTCAATACTTTATGTAAAGAAGGAACATTAAGTTATTCCTGCAGGGCCTTTCCTTCCAGACAGTACATTATAAGTATTTTAGCTGTTTAAGACAGACATTGTGTTTTACAGTTGTCTGAGGACATATTGGCCCCAAGGCATAGTGCCCTGTTTATCTGCAAGAACACCATATAATGGGCTGTGTTGCATATACCATGAATAAAACCCTTTCCCTGTGCTTTCAGAGAATACTGTGTAAATGCACAGCAAAGTTCCATGGAATTGTTTTTGTTGGAAAAGACCTTTAAGATCATCAAGTTTGCTGGAGGCAATTTGCTGCATAGGGGATGGCATTTTCCAGAGGCTGGCCAGTCCAGTTTAACAGAAGGTGGTTGACAGCTGGTCACATCCAGATGCAAATCCATCCTTCATAATGGGAACATGATTCCTGAATGCTTGAAAGCACTCTCTGTTACAGCTGTGACTGCTTTGCCAGCAAGTAAAAACTGGTAGTGGTTGATACTCGGTGAGTATGTGCTAAAAGTAGATCTCAGGAGTAAAAAGATGCCATTTTTAAATGGTGACTTCAAGAGGCATTGAGTCTGTGTTGTAAGTTTTGGAAGTGTTAAATAAGCAGTGAGAGTTAATAGAGTCTGCTGACATACTTCCTAAACTCCTTCTGCTACTTCTCCAGCAGTTGGAGTCCTGTCATTTACAGTAAATAGACTCTTAAACTTTTTTGTAATACAATACTAGATTTGCTGGTCTGTATCCTCCTCCCCCTTGAACTTCAAAAATTCATTTTTTACTATCCTGACATAGAAGCTTGGGTTCCTTGGTAGGATTGAGTTGAAGGTTGTAAAAGAAGTTCCATTTAAATACGAGGAAAAACTTCTTTACAGTGAGGGTGACAGAGCACTGGAACAGGCTGCCCAGGAAGGTTGTCGAGTCCCCTTCTCTGGAGATATTCAAGACCCCCCTGGATGCAGTCCTGAGTAATGTGCTCTAGGGGATCCTGCATTAGCAGGGGAGTTGGACTAGATGATCTCTAGAGGTCCCTTCCAACTCTGACAGTTCCATGATACTGTGATTCAGTACAAATACAAGACACTCTAAGGAATAGGTTGCTGTTTCCAAAGCAACGTTGAGGTAGCTGCCTTTTTTAGGAAGCAGAAAGAACCCTTGTTCTAAGATCTGTTTGAAGAGTCATTGCATGGTGGGTAAGTGAATAGTGTTTAGGAGTGCCTCTGTTCTTTCTGGTTTGCTGCAGTAGTAGGCTCATGTTAGCCTCAGGCTTTCATGGCTTGTGTCTGCTCAAGTATTTCTTTCGGTTTATGTCAATTTCTTCAGTACAAGAAAGGACACTCCTAGTACTGGTTGTGCATTCAGGAAAAATCCTTTGCTTTCAAAGAGAATAACCATTTTAACAGCTGTTTATCAGCAAAACTACTGGTCAGTAATTAAAAGAATAATTTTCAGCTGAACTTTTAGTCTTTTTTGAGAGACTTGTCTTGGTGCTTTAAAGTACCATACCTTTTCTTCTAAAAGAAGTAAATTGAAAAAAGTCACTTCCAACCTCTGAAAAATATGACTGAGAGGAAAGCAGTGATGATGGCAAGGAAGAGCCTTTGGGTAACTTATGTAGTTTTATAGTGCAGTATTTTGAAAGATGTATTTCTTTTTTTTAACCATAAATATTCTTTCCCATTTTTGAAGACTGCTTTAAAACTTAAAAAATAATTGTTTTCAAATACTCTGATCAAAGAGGATACTTAGTGCTACACTTGTTTATGAGAGTGGGGTTTCATTCCATATACATAGCCATTTTATGCCTTCCTGTATCCCCCTTAATTGCCACTCCACAAAGACACTGGCCTCCTATAAATCCTGTGTGATATTGTCATCTTTGTGGGCAATGCTTAGTCACTCAATAATGTCACTTGGAGCCTGTGTGCAGGCAGCTGAGTTCTGGGAACCAAAGTGTCATTTTCTAGTATCTGAACATTATTGGTAAATTGTTAAAGAAAAAACAAACAAAAAACCAAACACAACTTTATATGAAATTATCTTCTCCATTGTAAAAGACAAAACTGGTCCAAGTTTCTTTTCAAGTTGATTACTTTATTTCAATAATGAATATTTTTTAAAGCTATGTTCCTATAAGAACAATAGGTATTCAAATTAAATCAACCATTACGTTGCAGAGTATACATCTGAATGAAGCTACAATAGAAAAATACACATAGCAACCAGTGTAGGCAATAGAAGATGTAATATACGTGTGTGTATGCTTAATAATTTTGGTGGGTTTGTTTTTCTTTAGTCTATGTATTTTCTATCCTCTCATCTTGCATTGCTTCATATTAATGGACACTGATTTAATCCTACAGTAGATTTAGATGTGAAATACAATTAACATACATATTTATAGGTAACTTTTACTGGGCACTTATTAGGAATGCAGTTTCAACCTGGAAAGCATTAACTGTAGTCTACAATGCATAGACTAAAACTAAAAAAATAAAATAATTACTCAGACACTTAGATGACAGTTTGAAGAAATTGTGAGTTTTGGTAATAAAACAGTGCAATTCAGAAGAGCCTTTTATTTCCCTAAGTGTGGTTGGAAATACCACGGCCACACATTGGTTTTAGTAATTTGTGAACAATTAATAGTTCTAACTCAGCTATAATTTATTTCTATAAGGCAACTACAGTACAACAGTTAAATGTTCACAGTAGTTTACTATGAGTTTGCTTTGGTGCACTGCCCTTAGGAGGCATCCAGATGTTCCTCAGGCAAAAGATGAGCCTATCAAATGTAACACTGCTGCAATACTGAGAGAATGGTTTGAAATTCTAATGTGAGATGTGCAGACTATCTGAGATACCAGTACTGAAGGGCTCTCTTTCAGAAATTAGACTTACTTGTTTATCTATTTGTTTACCTGTTTATTGCACTGCAAAGTTAATGCCATTGCAGCAGTTTGTGTGAAGCACCAGTGACAGCCACTGGTCACTTGTGCAATCTTAGATGTTTCTTCTTTGGGAATATCCCTTGTTTCTTAACATTAGTCTAACTCAAATTTGAAATCCTCATTCTCTCCCTCATCTACTCTTAATTCTAATGGTTTGGATGCGATGAGCAATTCACGGTGTGGAAAGAATCTCCTTATTACTATTGCTTCGCATCGTATTGATTCTACAACATCTGCCCCCTCCCACACTTCACATACCTTGAACTCCCAAATGTTTGGTAAACCTTTCCATGACTGCCTAATCCTGTTATGAAAATATATTATTCTGTGAGTGAGAGAAGGAAGATTAAAACAAAACAAAAAAAGGAAAAAAAAAATTGGATAAACAGTCCTTACAACTTCTGCACATGGTGGATTTTTTCTGTAAGCAGCAGTGTCTCAGAAATTCATTAACAGCAGTGCTCAGTATCCAAGACATTAGCTCTTTATTTATAATTCTGATGTTCACTAAAACAAAACCAGAAGACTTCAGCTTAAATTAGGTGCTTGGGAGATACCATGAAGTCCAGCATATACAGTTAGGGCATCCTGAAGAAGAATGAGTAAAGTCAGAGGTCTTGTTATTTCACATAAAATAAGGAAAACATCTAGTAAAGCTACTTTTTGTGTTCCTTTCATTCAACTGTTGGTCAGGGATTGCCAATAGAAGTTTGTCTCATCTACTGCATGCATAACCTAATTGGCACTAAGTAATGGATTTCATCTATCTAGGTAATTGTTGCAGTTGTTACTCGTTTTAAGGCAGTTACACTATGAAGCAGAGTACATGATCCTTGGATGGCATCTTAGAGCTTCAGCGCCTAGCAACTGGTGAGCCAGACCGTGATCCAGGTCGGGACCCAGAGCCTCCCTGTGGAGGGAAGAAGAGTTCAGTAAGTGAAAAGGCATTGTGTATTTGGAGCTACAGATGGAAAAACATCAATCTGCAGCACAGCAAACTTTCAGATTTTAAATAATATCCAGTGAGAATGGCTCCACTATATTGCCAACTGTGACTGGAATTTTTACTTCAAAGAGATGTGAATCATCATGAGATGTTTGCTTTTAATATATTTACACATAATTTAATTTACTCTTGATAAAACTCTCATACTGGGCTGGATCGTATCTCATGAATTATTGGTAGGTGCATGTTCTTATTTAGACTTTCCTAAAGAAAGCTATTTACTTACTTGGACATCTCAGAAATTTTCATTTTTATGGCTACCCCTGAGCTGTTTGCATGCTTTAAAACACTAAAACCAACCAAACACCAAAACCAAAAAAACTGCAAACCTTGCATACAACTTGTAATAGTCTCAAATCTGGAAAAATTGAAATGCTGTAATTTATATTATGTTGCATTTATTAAGGTAAATTGTTACTATATCAGCATCATTCTTGTATGGAAAGATCAGGTGCAAATAGAGGAAAAAATTAAGACGAGATAAAGGGCTGAAACCTGGCCTGTTTTTTACAGATACTAAGAAAATGTCAGACTAGGGAAAACAAAAGCATGACCGTTCGTAAGTCTGCCCTATACCAGATGTGTGTAATTTGGGATTTTATTTATTTATATTCTTACTGTCTTATCCTTAGTTTACTGAACAGTATCAAAGAAAATTTGGTTAAACAATTGGGTAATTGACTTTTTTTCTTTCAAAATTATCCTAAAGAATGGATAGCTTCTTTATTGTAAAAGGCTGTGAAACTATATAAAGAAATAGTTATTCATGCCCCCTGCTATAAACCGTGGGTCTAAATCTGAATAAAATTTATAATAGATCCAAAAGTTACAATGGCTTGAAAGAGGCTATCTAAAAAGTAGAACTGGTGTGTGTGTGTGTATGTATATATATATATTTATGTGTGTGTGTCTATAATAATATATCTATATATAAATTCAAGCTGAAATAGTACTGATGAGTATGTAAAAAAGAGAGGTTATTATGCAATATTGTCAGACGTTTGAAATAAATTTGACAAGTAATGTCAGTATACATCCATGGTAATTTTTATGTATGTGAACTTCACTAAAAAGTTTGAAGTGCATAGCATGAAAATTAGGCTTAAGAAGTAAATGTTGGTTTATTAACTGGGCCTCTGAAGAGTTCATTGCTTTTCTTAAATTGCAACTTAAGAATTCTTACTATCTCCTTGAAATTTGTAAGCTGTCACCTGGTGCTGCACATGTTTGAAAACCAGCTCTACAGTAAAAGTTCTGTACCCTAAAGCTTTTAAAAGATAAAAATGTGGGTTTGCTATGGATGGTGGTGGTGTTATGTCTCCTGTTGAAGAGTGAGAGTTGTAGCAGCCTGTGATAGTCACAGATCTGCTATTGACACCATCTGTCTCAAAGTTAACATTGGTGCTGATTGCATCCTTCATATCCAAGAAGCATACTAGATTATTCTTTTACTTGCGAATGCTTCATTACCTTTGAGGAAAAATACAGTCTTAGGTAAAGTAGCTGCCAGTGGATGTGATGTGCTTTCACATGCTTTTTTCCTGACATAGAATGTGAAAAACCCTTGTAACTGACTTGTTTTCCTGCTCTGTTTTCATTTACTAGTCATGTTCTTCGAGCTGTGTGATGACTTGAAATGGTGAACTCAACCAGATTAATCTCACCAAATGTTTCATTTTCAAATGACACAGTTCTGTCATTTGCCCACTTCTGTGGTGTTGCAACTCACTGTACTGACATATTGTAGGAGTTTTCCCACCAGGGTGGGAGATTGATCAGGGACAGGAGGGACTGATCAAGTCATTACTGCATGTCAACAAAATATTTGTCCAACACTGCCCTGTCCTACCTGCTATTCTGCAGCTTATTAGTTCACTTTCATTTTCACTATTCTAAACAATTTAACAGCAGCAGCAAGCTGTGCCACCTCATTCATCTTGTGTGTTCCAAGTAATTTGAAAGTTCAGTGACAATATGGATCCTGGTCTGGGTTTTTGTGGGACTTGTTGGACTTACGTTCTTTCCTGATGGTAACTGACTGTGTGTTTTTACCTTTATTTCCTATCATATAAGTAGTTGCTAGGCCATGTGATACCTTCTGATTTATCCATGCAAGTCTAGTTCCTTCAGAAGCCTTAAGGAAATGTGGTTGTTTCAAACATGGCAACTTCTGGAGAGGTTTGGCTTCTCTCTGTCCTGGACTCAATTTTTTGTACTTACAGTAAGTTCAATTGTACTTTACCAGTTTAAAGATTCTGGAAAGAGGGCCCTGGCCCTCATGATAGGATCCCTTATGTCCCTTATGAGCAGATTTATGCTCATAGAATTTTCCGCTTCCGTATCCTGGCTTGTGTCCTTCACCACCCTGCAAAGAAAGATTTTCATATATATTGCAAGCTATCACATTCAAAATATCATATGCACATCGTAATCTTTGTTTATCGCCCCTGAAATGTAATACACAAAGGAGAAATTTAGAGGTGTTGGAATAAAATAATCTTTTACATAGTAAACAAGAATGAAGGGAAGCGTTAGGAAATTATCTTGAAATACTCAAATCTGAGTGAAGCACCAATCTGGAAAAGAGGAATTAATAATTTAAAAATCAGATTGTTAACCTGCATGACAAAACTTAAAGTTTTTCAATTTCATGAGGTCTAACATGTCAAATGCATCAGCTAATTGTGTTCTTCTGACAGCGAAAGAAATGCTCAATGGCTTGAAGACTTTAATGTTTTGTCTTAAAATGCAAGTAATTTACAGATCCATCTCATATGAAATCAAACCTGTGGTAGAGAAGCAGAATTTAATTAGTTGTGAGATAACTGTGGGAAGAACTTGCCTAATAACTGTTTAGGCAGATGGCTTCTTACTGAAGGGGATTGCAGGAAAGATGGGGCAAAATACTTTAATTAGTGAGGGTGTTAGTTTTGCAGACTGTATGAGAGCAGTTGGAGCTGTGGAAGAAGTGCCTGTCTTGTCCCAGCCCTCCCTCCCATTTTTGTCCTTTTCAGGAAAAGAAAAATGCAGCAGATGAGTCTTCCAGGAGTCTTTAAGGGAAGAGAGCTTGGCCATGCAGTGGATTTTGCTCCCTTCACGCTGAAGCAAAAGAAATTATCGCTGCAAGGCTGTCAGATTGCTGAATAAAAGCAAGCAATAAAATTACCATCTAAAATGCTGTGGGAGGAGCAAGGAAAACGCCAACAGGAAAAGCAAAACAGCAAAATTGAGACAAAACAAAATTATCAAGTTGCTGCAGCAGCTTGAGGCAATAGAGCAAGATATGCTTTGGCCTGGTAAATAAAATGGCTGTTATTGGAAGCACATTTGTCACCTACCCAGCTAAATCTGGTGAGGGATAATCCTCTTCCCTGTACATGCAAGAAATAGAAACAATGACATGGTGATCACTAAGGGACATAGAATCTGGGCCTACCAAAGACAGAAGATGAAAATGCAGTAAAAATAATGAGATACTGGCCAGATAATGAAGCAGGACTTGAAAACAACAATTAGTATACAGTCATTCCATGAAGCAAAATAGTTTTTATTGTCATTACAGGAACTGACTTTGCTAGCCATGGTTTGTTAGTATTTAGGAGCCAGCTGAGCTTATAGTAAGTGTAAGGATGGTTCTTGGAGGGTGAGGCTTGTTTGAAAGCACTACCTATTATTAATTTATTACATCAAGCAAACACAATGTAAATTGAATATAAAAATCCCTGTGAGTGGCTTTGTTACATGAAATGAAGCGAGTCAGGAAGCACGTGAGGAAGAGAACCATGGCTTTTCTGTCTTAGTGCCTTGCTTTAAATATTCCCACTGGTAACTCCAGGATTTTACTTAGGGCCATTAAAGAAAACAGATCAGGCTAGCACCTGAATTTATATAAATGAGCCCACAAAAAATCTTGGAAGTTTCATGAACCCCTGAAAACACTTACCTTTGCTTGCATTGGAGGCGGTGTACGGGGTGACACCTAAAAACCAACACAAAAGAAGTTGTAGAACCAAGGCAACAATAGATGTAGGGAATCCTCAAGTTTTGGCATATTACTTATGAGTTAGTAGGCCTTTTGCATCTGTTCTTGTTTAATTTCATTCTTTTTATTGCCTCCTGAATAGTTCAGAATGCTCATTATTAAAAGAGTTAAAAAATTAATCATAGCATGGGTATTTTTTCCATCATAAAAATGTTCTCATTATTGATTTTATTTATTTTTTTAAAAACCTGTTGTAGGTGTTACACTTCAGATCCAATGATGACCATGTTCTAATCCAAGCAGAGACAGCACGTTACTTTAACTTTTCTGGGTATCAACCTTGGGAAAAGCAGTTTGTGTAGGTGGTTATTAGGAGAGACACTGATACTCCAAATAATTCTGTCCTGGTTAAGCTTCCATTATTTTGCGGAGGTTCTTCATTCAGCCTTTGAGCATCAAAATACTAAGACTTCCATTTCAGAAAAAAAAAAACCAACAACACACTGAAAAATAGATTTGGCAAGAGTACTTGCACAAATCACATCAGAAGCATGGCAAATACAATATGTGAAATCTCGCTTGCTGGATAATCACTGTACAGTTTTTAAATAGAGTACTACATTTCATTAAGTATTTACATGGTGCTCAAGAATTTGATGTCTGACGACATTCCATCTTTCCTGGACGTTTTCTGTGAAAACTCTTAATGGCATTAAGCATTTAAACAACCCATTTCAGAGCTTGAACAGAGTTGCTGTTAGCTTACATGAAATCATACAGAAAAAAATGTTAGGCTGTTTTGCTTATGTTTCCAACTCTATCAAAAATTATAAGCTGTTTCATATTTGGGAGTAGACTTATGTCCATTAAGTGCTATCTAAATAATTGCACTGAGAAGCTCCTCTGCTGCCTTAGACTCTGTCTAGAGTACACTGGATTTTCGTCTCTTTTTAAACAGAAGATAGGCCTCAACACAGCCTATGCTGATGACAAAATCTATCAAGGGTGAACCTGTGCCATTAAAATGGCTGTTGCTGAAATTTGACTGTGCTAGTGACCCACTTCTCTGTAGCATTTCAGTATTGTTTGTGTTTTCAGGTAAAAATTCTTTTTGCGTTGAATGGTGGGATGAGTCGAAAGGCACACTACAGCTTCTGAAGCTCCAGGTGATGGCTGGTGACTGGGGAGTGTTAGGTTACCCATGGATCCTAAAGAAAACATTTCAGTCTAGTACATGAGAAGAAGAGAGGAGACTTACAATGTTCTTGAAGAAGTGGACTACAGGGTTGTCATCCCCAGGCCGGCCATGCTGAGATCTCTGGGGGATGGACCCTACGTGGTGGCTAGCCCTGGCTGCATGTATATCCTGCAAAGCAGAACAGGCAGATGGCCAAGTCAGCTGGGAAGGAAAGATAAGAAAGGAAGAGCCATTTTCACCAGGAATGAAAAGAAGAAAAAAAAACGCCTCAGAAAACTATGGAGAGTGCAATCTGAAGTTGTCAGTGCTGTGGAAGAACAATTTTTTAATACAGTGGCAAGTACACAGTATGTACATTGACATATGTTGTGCATATATATGTATACACACATATATATGGGTGTACATATTTTTTAATATTGCAGCCCAGCGTGGAATTAAATCTGTTATTGGAAAGTTTTTATTGGAAACCTTACGATTTTCCTTCTTTCCTAAGTACAATCATAGGTCGTTCACCTTGTGAGGACAGGAATGGATCATACACAATGCACTCAGTTCTCAAAGGCTACAAAACACCAGAGAACTGCAAAAGCAACTTTTTTTTTCTTTTTTTTTTTTCCTTGAATTTTCCTGAATTTTCTCTTGAATTCCCTGAGAACAAGGGTGTGTTATAAGCACTGGGTGGATACCAAAATTCTTTATTGGCCTCTAAAAGATGCAATAGAATCCATAGTGAGACAGTAGCTCTCGTAAGTACTTCATAGTAGCACAAACTGAATGAACATTTGACTATAGAACAGTATGATTAGTTATTTAAAATACACTTTGTTTTCATCACATGTAGAAAAACATTGATCAACTTGTCAGGGAAGAAGCTTAATCTGATTGTTGGTCTGGGTCTTCTGATTCAGGAGTGGCTTGGACAAAAAAAGTTAAGAACTACAGCACAGACTTTCAAATGTTTGAAGAGTCTGTTTGCATTCCAAGTGAAATCTCATGAATGCCCCAACTGCGTCAAGCTACTACTACTGAAAATGGCTGCACAGAGATTTACAGGTTCTAAGACTCTTCCGTAAAAGGTTCCATGAAACCATCTAGTGTTACTGCACAAAGCTGCTGCATGAAGGTTTTATTTTTGAGTGAGTGGAGTCAGATGTTGTGATCGTATGTTAATTAAATGTGTTTATATTATGTTGGATCATCAAGAAGGAGAGTCAGAAGTATCCATCTTTATGAGTGGCCTTTTAAGTTACGCAATTCTGAGTAGAAATGAAATTCAGATGTGATGTTTATAAGATTAATGTATTTAGGAAAACAAATGAACCAGCGTAGAGATGTACTGCTTAAAAAGCATGACTTTCTGAATTTTATTTGGCCTGTGAAATTTCCATAGTGTCGAGCAGTCATTTCTTTTAAATCTGTGCTCAAATACAGCATCCTTCACCTCTGGATCCAGCTGACTGCTTTGTCTTTAAGATCAATACCATGATAAATACCCCAGTGTTGCAGATCTAAACATCCATTACAAGGAGCAGAAAGTGGTCACCATCTGACTGCAAACTGTTACAGTCACTGAAGCAGAAAACTTCAAAATCAGTTTGGATTGCACATAGCCTGAAACTCTGCAGTGAGCTGTGGATTGCCCCCAGGCACAGAGAGAAGCTGGGATAATAAGTTTTTACCATGTAGATAAGGTTGACTTTCCTCATGTCACTGTAGTCTTTGACTGGGTTCCTCTTTAAAGTGTACAAGACAGAGACAACTCCAAAGCTATTTTTAGTTATGGTTGTCTCTGAGTTTAAGACAGTGTGTTTCCTGGGGTTACAAGTAAAGTGCATTCCTTTCATATCATCAGCAGCAAGCTTCATCTGTGGTCAGAATCTTTGATATTATTCTTCGTTTTTGGCAGGTGATTACACATCTTCTTTTGATTTATTGTTGGAATTTCACCTGTAGTTTATCCTTTCAATGTTCAGACTCCTAGGAGCTGGCAGCAAAATCCACTGCTTTTTTCCCTGAGATTGCTCACATTCATTATTTCTGAAAACCCATTTCCCTCCAAAGAGTAATAACACTATAGGTGTTAAAAGTTAAATTTTAATGGATTCAGGCACTGAATGAAAGAAAACAAATCTGGTTTATCCTGCTAGGATGGGCTACTGAGGTGGTATTTTACAATTGGAATTCTTTGCAAATTTCACTAATACATTCAGAAGACCACAATTTATTTTTCCATATGTTTTAAGCACTTGATCTTACATAAGATTCTTACTAAAACCTAACAGGAATGCAGCAGAGCAGCCGTGTTTCAGGAAGGTGTAGCAGGACACTCCATCTCAGAGTGCCTGCCTCAGTTTCCCTTTGTGATTCAATTGCTCTCTATCTTTCAGTCTTACAGGCCCAGGCCCAGAGTGGAAAGATTTCCATGGGAAAGGAAAGGGCCCAGCAGGCTCTGAACAGGTAACAACCTCAAAACTACAAACAGGGGGCAAGTTGATGTTCATAACACCAGCTGCTCTCCAGTGTTGCAGAACACAGAGCCCAGCCTGGCCACAACTAGGCCAAAACACAGGCAAAATAAGAATGAACAGATAAGCAAAAGAGTTTGCTTTGTGAGAACAGGGCATTCTTGGGGTTTTCCACTTGTTTTCTTCTCCAGTGACAGATTTTGGAGGCATGGCTAGATAGTTAAATGAGAGCAGTCAATCCACTTTATTCTATAAACGCCTGGTCCCACTTTATCAGAGAGACTTTTGTACTCTTCTCCAGGAGGTTGCTGGACCTTCTCTCCAGCAGTGATGCCTGCCAGAGAGGTTATTTCTCTGGAGTTGAGGACCAGGCCATAGGGACACCCACCTGTGGTTGTAAATGGTGAGAGATACCAGCTCCCTGTATGTTGCCATTAGCTGGCTTTAAACATTAAGAAATCTTTCACTGTTAAGTTCTAGAACTTTTAAGACCTCTGGATCCTTTTAGATAATTGCAATTATCATGTTACCACCTTGCCTAGGTATTATTTGAATCATGTTTTAGATCTACTAAAAAGTAAGTTGCTAGCATTCAAACCTTTTCACATTATTGCTTTAACATTCTGTTCTGCTACCCTAATATCCCAACACTCATATAATCTGGTTGTGACTTTTGTGGTTCACTCGTTAAGACCCTGGTGCTGTTTGCAGTAAATATTGTTTTGTGCATATACATCTTGTCTGCTATCTCTCCCTGCTCGGGACAGAAGGGGTGACATTTACTTGGTCTTTCTTTGTGTTACAGGTCTCTGTTGCTTGGCAGCTGCAGTGAGCTCTCCCCACACCTCTTGCAATGTTGTCATGAATTTCAGTCTTAAGAGCATTGCCCTTGAAAACCAGGCTTGGCTTCCCTGTCTGTGCGTTGTGAAATGTACTTGCCAGGTACGAACCTGAATTCAGACCCCTTGGGGACCATTCATGAAGTTTAAAACAGAGGTGTCTCTGTTGATGCCCTTAAAAATTAAGTTAAAAATAATTCTAGAGTATCTGAATAGTTTGCAGTCATAAGCAGTCTTTCTTTAAAAGAAAAAATAAAAATAAAAATGAGAACACTCAGCTTTTTCTGTTCCCAGTTAACTTCGTGTTTGACCTTACTAAAGGATCCCTACTAAGTCAACTCTGCTGTACCTTCAAAAAAGCCAAAAAGGAAAGATCCCTTTAAACTGAATAATCTGAATGATTATAAAATACAGGAAATGTAAGCAGTATCTGGGAGCTCTCAGGACAGACACAGTTTGCAACTTCACAGTGAAATTAAAAGCTTTGAGGATTAATAAGGTAAGGACACTCTTAAAAATGTATGTAAAATACCCACAGTTATCCTGTAACGGGGAGGAGTTCAGTCTTGGAATGCTTTGCAGCTCTTTCTGGTGATGCACAGGAAAATTGCATTATTTCACTGTGTCACCTACCTTATGTATCTTGGCCACTAAGGCAAAAGAAAATGAGAGAGTGACTTTCAATGTGGTGGAAAGAAAACATACAGGTATTTTAACTATTAACAGTAGCTGTGCATTGGCATCATGTTCCCTGTGTTAAGTCATGTACTTTCACATCAAAGTAATCAAATTTACAAGCACGACTTGTATTACTGTTTTGAAAGAGCTGTTGGTAAAGAGAATTGCCACTTCTCTAATGCAGTAACAAGAATCCATACATAATCCAATGTGTGCTCCATTTTGGGTTTTGTGCAAGATTAACACATTTCTGATGAAGGTGAAGATACCCAAGTATTTATGCTCTTCGTTGTTCTGAGGCAGCAGCCCTGGTATCTTCTGTGGCACTTATTGAAGGTTAAGGGGTGCTGCTGTCTGTGCTGGAACTCTGTAGGAGACTGGAGAAGAGGGATCTCACTTTGATAAATGGCACTTCTGGCTTGTAGAATCATAGAATCGTTTTGGTTGGAATAGACCTTTAAGACCATTGAGTCCAACCATTTACCTAACTCTACCAAGTCCAGTGTTAAACCATGTCCCTGAGCACTAAGTCTGCAACACCTCCAGGGACAGCGATTCAGCCACCTCCCTGGGCAGCCTGTTCCAGAGACTGACAACCTTCTCAGTAACAGGAAACCTTTTGGTACATTAGGACACCGGATTTAGTAATCCAGGCTACTGATCATCCATGCATCTGACTTGAGGTGTGGTAGGATTTGGGGGATTAAATTCATTTTCATATAAACAGACTTTGTTTTCAGATTTGATGCAGAAGTGTGAAAAATCTGATTAACAGAAGCAGACATTTTTTTAGTGACTTTATGAGGTCCCATGAAATGCATACCTGATTTTGCTTGGTATAAACATGGTAAGTCAGATTTGCAACTTGTACTCACTAAGGGGGACTTCTAAATACATTTCATAAGCTCTTACTGAGAGCTCTCATCCTCAACAAGGGAATTGCTTATAACTGAAGATTGCATATACATGTAAATGTACACTTAAGGCTGTAATTCCCAACCAGTAGGTTATAATAGTATTAAGGTATTTTTGGTTTGTGGTACTGAGTTTACAGCTTTTTCCAGTTCCTTTCAGAATCATTATTATGTAGCTTTGTTGCCTACTGTAGGATGTGAAATGAAAATCTAAAGAACATCATGGTTTTTTTTCTATAATGGCAAAATCCAAATGCATGTGAAAAATG